AATTTTTTCAATTTTTTTTACTAAAAACTGTCATAACTTTTTCAAAAATGAACATATGAATATAATTTTTTTTTTATAGATGCTTGATGTCTTTACCTATCATTTGGTATATTTTTTTTGTAAATTTGACCTTTTTTCTGCCCACAGGGGGGAATTTAAAATGACAACTTTTTCACAAAAAATTAACTTTTCAACTTAACTTTTGAAAATGTTCCAGAAGGTCTGACACTTTTATATATATCTTAAATTTAAGCTAATGTAATATACTTTAATTTGAAAAAAAAAAAATTGACCTCTGGACTTGTCTTCACGGCGAAAATGGCTACCGAATGCTTATTTCGTGTGAAAATTCTCGATTTTATTATTTATATTATATTTAACTTTATAATGCTATAACTTATTGAAAAGTTTATGGATCCACACAATTTTATTATGAGAAATAATATTTTTTAAAAAACCCTTTTTCATTTGACATACTTTATCGAGATATTAATAAGGAACCAGCAGATCAAGTAGCTTTTGGAATAAAACACCAATTTTTTTTAAATTAAACACTATCTAAAGATTTGCATCGAAGCGTTTATTTTTGATAGTGATTTTAATCACTGTCAGATATCATTATACTTGATCCAACTATGCCACGTCACCACTGTGCCGCGACCCCCCTGTGCTGGGTTTTTTTTTTTTTAGATTTATAATTTATATAGCAATATGTTACAAAAAAATTTGGAATGTTATAGACTGGTAGTAGCACACAGAAATAGACTAAAAAATTAATAAATTTCAAAGTAAAATTATATAATATCAAATCTAATTCGACGTTTTAGTAAGATGAATTTCCGATATCATTACAATATCTACTTTTTCTTCTGATAGAGTTAATTATAGTTCGTTGATGTTATTTAGTATTCCATTGGCATTCCACAAGAGGATTGTGAGTAGGTGTGATTGTTGATTAACGGCCATTTTTAAGAAGTTGCTCGATGACAGTCGTGAGGAGTGAGATAAGTGGATTAATTAGCGTTTTTAGATCGGTAATAAAAGAAGATAAATGATTTGAAAAAATTTTCTCTGACGGCTGGTCTGATTTTGTCCACTTAGTTGGATTTTTTGCTGTGGTCGATTGAATAGTTTTAGAGTGAGAAAAGGGTGGAAAATTTTGAGTGGTTAAGATTTTTTCTGAGTGAGTTTCATTTGAGTTTACGTTAAGTAAATAATTGGTTTTAATGTTTGAGTTGAGATGTGATTTTCTTTGCTTTAGTAATTCTTTATGAGACTGACAGCCCCTATAGTTTGCAGGATGGGAGCCTCCGCATAGGGCGCATTTGGCCGGTTCATTTCGGTTTTTTGCTAACAGAGGACTCGTGATCTTCACCACAGCGAACACATCTAGGGTTGTGATTACAGTAACTACGGGTGTGGCCATAGGACTGGCAACGTTGGCATTGGGGTATTTCTTTTTTGGTGTGGGGGACTTCAATTTTTATTTTGGAATAGCAGAGGGAAGTGAGTTTGAATATTTCTTGATTCAGTTCAGCTTGCTCAAGGTCAACAAAGAAGAGGGGCAGCGGCGTTTTAGAAGATCTGTGGAGGACATTCGTTATGTTTTTGACTTGGTACCCTAGATTAGTTAATTCGTCAGAGATAAAATCTTTATCAGTAGAAGGGTGAAGGTTGCGGATGACAATTCTGAACGGTTTGTTTTCTTTTGACTGGTAGGAATGGAAGGAGATGTTTTCACTTTTGAAAAATTTAATGACTGATCTGTATGAATCAGGGCTAAATGTTTGTAATTTAACACCTTTGGTAGAGCTTTTACAGGAAAAACTAGATGCGTCGGTGAGTTCTTTCATTTTGAGGCAAAAAGAATTTTAGTATAAAAAAAAAAATATATTGATTTGTTGATTTTTGAGAAAGTTATGGAAGTTTTAAGAAAAAAAATGACAAAATTTACCAATTTTTAAAATAGTAATTTTTTTGGAGATTTGTCCCATAATTTTATTAGAAACTAAAAATGAACAACATTATGAGAAAACAATCTAGTATTTAAAATTAAAAATATACTAAATTATAGATTGGCTCCCATTAGAATAGTGTAATTGTAAGGGTGTCCTTTATTTTGTTATAATATACAAAATAATCATTTAATAGTAATCAAATATGTCTGGGTATTATGAAATCTTAAACACATTAAATGATTTATAATTTGTTTAAAATTATATTGGCTCAATAAATATGAGAACAAAGAATTTATTTTTTGTTGCCAATCATAACAGTTAAACTCATAAAATAATTAATTTTTGTTTATAATATTGTAAAATATTTTTTAAAAATAGTTCTGTTGACATTTTTGTAAACAAACAATAATAAATTGATTTTTCTTTACTGAGATAAATCATAAAAAATAAAAAAAATATCAATTAAATCAAACATTGTTTGAATTGTCAATTAAATCAAAATCACCTTCTGTATATCATATATTATTATAATTAGTTATTATTTAAAATATTTATGTTTTTTCTGAAAGAAATTTTTTTGCATTTATAAGTGGGATAAGTCTTAGTGGGTTTTTCAAGTAATAGGATTTTTTTTTTTATCCATCAGTGAAGTATGAAAAATTTAGTATAGACACTAGAATTTATTGGATTTTGTAGTTCACATAAATTAGTAGTTCTCCTTAAGTACAAAGATACATTTGTTTTAAATATAATATTCATGTGTGACCTATTACGAGTCTGTACATTATTTCTTTATCTCTTCTTGATTACTGCAATGTTAATTTAGTATGATCTTAATATTTTGTATTATATTAGCTGACAGCTTGTTAGTTTATAGGCAAAGTGTACATTAAATGCTCATTCTTTTACTATTGAAAACATTGTATAACTAAGCAAAAAATACTTCTATAAAATACTCAGTTTTTATTAATATATCATAGAAAATGAATATTAGATCATTTCAAATTAAGATTTTTATAAATAGCTTCATAAAATTAACTAGTTAAAGTTCATTAATGTAAAATTTAAGCACACATCAAGATAATACTTCAGTTAAATAACTTATTTGGAGGAACAAATAGGATAAATTATTTGTAATAAAAAAAATAATTTCATTTTATTTTTACCAATAACTATCTTTCAAATACCAGTAAATTTTTATTAAGTAATAAATAAATATTTGAAAAATATATTTACATACATAACATTCAGATAATAGTGCAATTAAAAAATTCATTAATAATTGTTGTGATTGGGTCTTTGATATCAGTCTTCTTTCTATTACTAATTATTGTAAGGTAAATAACATCAAAAAATATTAATTGGTTTACACAAAGTATTTATAACAGCATAATTACAATTATAATTCAATACTACCAAGGAAATTTTCACCCTATAATAATTGAAATTGTTATTCAATAAAATTACTAACAAAAGATATTTAAGACCATGTTTTGATACCTTTAATAAAAAGATATAGTCAATTCTCATTAAAACTATGATCTTTCTTAATTATTATAGTCATATAAGATTACATGAGTATTATTCTTGTATCATTTTTATTAAATGTATTTTTTTTAAATATAGAAGAAAACCAGTTATTTTGTTCTATACCCTGAATTTACAGCATTAATGAATAATGCTTAAAAATATTTTGGGTTAGTAAAACTATGCATAATATGGATGATCTCCATTATACATTATATTTTTAGTTTTTTCACATAAATGGCAAAATATATTTAATTTTTTAGGCAATATAGTTTTTGTAATATTATGAAACAAATCAAAAGGATCTTGCACTGCAAGACCTTCTCCGAAAAAATTACCCTTAATTTTGATACATCGTTGAGTAGGGTCACCAGTTTTTTTCTTATGAAAACCTAGTATATCTCTAGAGTTCATTGGAATATTAAAAAACTTTTCTTTTGCTATAGCTTCGCCTGTTGTAGGACATAAAACATAGCTTTTAAGTTTTTTAGAACTTGAATAAAAAGAGAAAAATCCATACAGTAATTCCCATTGAGAAATTTCTGGTACTTTCCACATTTGTTTTGCTTTTTCAGGTGTACAAAAAGTACAATCCCAATCTGTAACATAAAGATTTTGAGTAAGTAAATTGAAAATCTTTCAAATATGATTACTTAAAGTTATACAGTTCAAATTACTAAAAAAAAAAAATTATAGATTTAATTTTGCATATAATTTTCCTATGTATACAGAGATTCATTTATTATGAACCACTTAATTAATAAATAAATTTTGAACCAGTATTTTTTGGAAGTTGTTAACACGTTTATACTCAAGCTAGAGGAAGAGTACATCAGAAAAATAATTAGTGAAAAGAACAACAACAACAACCGCATCTCATCTCCAGTGTAAATTTTAAAATTCTAATAACTCCAGAAATACAGTTCCAAAAGTTGTTATAGACGTATCATTTATAATTAGACCATGGCCTACTAAATAAACTAGCTACTTATATGTTCCTGTTTAAAAAAACTAAGTTGACACCCTGTTAAGGTATAAAAAATAAACATTACAAATATTTTGCAATTAAAAATTGAAAAACATATACCTTAATAAAAACTAAAAATTGCCTATATATAAATAGGTATATAATGAGGGTAGGTGCAGATTGTATTAGTTATTACACTTGCAGTCCATACTCACTCTATATATTAAAATGTATGTTATTGTAAAAAAAATTGAGAGTAAGATCCTGTTTTTTTTTAATGTACAGTAAAATAAATTTTCAACAAAAACTAAATGTGAAAAATTAACAAGTCTAACTCCCTCCCTTCCAAAGAGGACCACATATAAAAGTAATAATAAGCAGCAACATTGCTTAGAGATCAGAACCTTTTTATCTTTTCTTCAGAGTTCTATTCTTCCCACGTTATTCCTAAATGAGTACTGAGCCATAATGTAGCCAAAAGTTAAGTAACATGACTCAAAAAGCAATGTTGCTCATTTATTTATTTATACATAAAACGGGCCTGACCCAAATATAAAAATTAAGATAAAATGGGTTATATGTAAAAAAAATATGTTATTTGTAAGTTAAAATCCAACTTTATATTTTTAAATTTATATTGCTTTAAAAATCTATGGCTTGAGTTATATATGGTTCATAACAATTCAGGTAAAAAAAATTTTTCTGAGTTTGAGATAAATAATAAAAAAATTTAAATCTTTATCTGCTCTTTTAGATAAAAATATTATATTGAAACTGTTGTCTACTTAACATATATTAAGTTCTTAAGCCCGCAATAAGCACTTAATATCAATCAAACTATCTTGAAATATAACTATAACAATTGTTGTATTGATGAAAATTTAAATTGATTTTGATGAAGTATTTTTAAATACATACCTTCAATGAACATAATGTCAGATATGGAAGCATGTTCTCTAAGAAATTTTAAAGATGGCACTACATGTATAGTCATTAAATAAAAGAAAACTAGCCAAGCTAATGCATAGCTTGTAAACATGCTTTGATTTTTTAGATCATTTTGAATTGCCCATCGCTTAACAACTGCACAAACAACCCAATGGACACGTTTATCCAACATTAAATATAACCTAGGATAAAAAATTGTAAAATTACACAGTAAGCATGTATAAAACAGTTATTAATCAAATGACATCATATTAACTATATTAGAAATTGACTAACTTTTTGTTCCTAAATAAAAATTACTAATAGTATCATGGATATGTATTCCAGCAACAATGTCCCCATTATCAATGCTAAACACATTCTGACATCCTTATCGAAAAAATACTCCCTTAAACACTCCTAGTGACCTTATCACCCAGTGACTTTACCACTAATTGATGTTATCACTTGGCCTATTGTCAAATTTGGCCAGTTAACACAAGTTCAATAATGAATTTTTCAATTGGCCAATATCACAATTAATTTAATTATTCTAATTTTCAAACATTTCTATTTCCTCCCTTATATATGGTAATTATTTACATTTTAATTAGTTTTATAGTTTAAACGGAGTGATTATGAGTCAATTAATGTTTAGTCATAGGAGCTTTATCAACCTCTTGATATATTGTTCCTCGTGTAATCTTTAAACCTAACCCCTCCCTATAGTTCTTTTTGCTTATCCTGTGTAACATTTATTACAGCTTTCACATTGTATTTTATAAATACCCGATTTCCCTCTTTTTCTACTTTATCTTTAGAGTTACCTAATAAATCATTTAAATTATTACTCTTTAATGTAACTAAAGTAATACCAAGACTTCTTAAAAATTATAGCTAGCTATATATTTTTCAATACAGTGGGACTTCGATTTACTGTCTGTCCGTCATCAAAGTTTTAAAGTTATATTCAAACCATAATCAACAATGAGTTATGAATTATAGGCCTAATAAATAATTCATGACTACATTGATTGTGGTTTGGGTAAGTCTTAAAATTTTAATGATGGTTAAACGTGTGACAGTTAGTCAAAGTTTCACTATACATAAATCATTAATTATTAGCACACATAACCTAATACTAGAGATGGAATAAAAATAAATAACTAAAGAAAAAAAGCTAAAACTGTTCAATAGTTCACAGCAATAAAAAATTCACTTAATTCAATTGATTATAAAAACTTATAATGGTACTCACAATAAATAACAACTGGCTAACCACTCCTATAATTAAGATACAGAATACAAATACAAACAATGACTACAAAACAAAAATTTTTCTCAACATTTAGAACATAAATCTCAATAATAATTTCAATTAAAATTCACAAATTAGTACGAAATATCAGATAAATACTACATGTCGTTATGGCCATAACTTAAAAGAATTAAACAAAAAAAAATTGATTGCTAAGTATTCAATAATTATTTTACAACTACTTAAGTCTTAAAAATCTATGGTGAAATGTATGTGAATAATAGGTTGCTGGCCAAAGTTTGTCGCGTTTACTCTATATGGCCTTAACATAAGCAGTAGGAGAACTGTATCCAAAAAATTTCTAATGATAAAAGTAACAACACCTTAGCCAGTCATTACTTTAATTACTTACAAAACAACACTCACACTATGTTAATATATTTATTTACTTAAACATTATATTTATGTATTTTTACTTACCTAACTAATTTAGTATTGTGAGTGCTTAACCCACTTTTAAAAGACAAATCACAGTGTAAACCTGAAGGTATATGTAAAAATTTAACAATTGGTACTCGAGCCCCACATATTGTCTGAATATTCTTGAAATCTTTACTTTGTGAACGAAAAACTTTGCCAAAATATCGAACTAAGTCTTCTTGGGCAGATGCATCATTACTCAACAAGCCATTAAAAGTATTTCCTAAAATTATGTTTGATTTGGATCAAAGTTTTATTAATTTTTATAATTTAAAAGCTTTTAAAACAGTAAATTTTTTATATACCAATATCAAAATACAAATCTACATCACTATCTCTAACAGCAAGTCCTGACATACGTGATCCAAATACATATGTTCTTCCAAAGTAAAAATGTGGACCAGCACAATAGTATATTGAATTAATCAATGAAATCAATCTGTTAGGAATACTAGGATTTGTTATTTCATAAGTTATCTCATTTAATTGATCATCTATTAATTTTATTAAATGAATTTTGTGGCTAAATTCTAGTTCTGTTTGTTTATTCAGTTCAGGCATTCTATCATCTATTAACACATATACATATGGTTCAAAAATAAATATAATAGTTTTTTTTATTTTTGAAAGTTAAATCAGTGATAAGATTGCAGAAATGACTGAGAATAGCCGAGTTCTATAAAATTGTATCAATATTTCCAAGTTTTAAATAATTTAATATTTGACATAATTTCAATCATTTTATTTGTAAAGTATTAATTGCAATACTAAATAAAATGTTTTTATTTAACTATCATTAACAAAGATTTTCATAATAAAATTATTGACACAGAAAATAGTTTTCTTTAAAATATTTAAAAGTTAAAGTATTCTTAATTCTATATTCTTTAAAAGTTTAGGACATAAAACAAAAAAATTTTAATTTAAAATAAATAATCATAAAAAGCACTTACCATCATCAATTTTATGAATACTAAAATCATGTTTTTTTTCTAGAATTTCTTTAAATTTTAACATATGATTCATTGATGACCTAAATAAACAATCATTACTTTATTCACTTAATAATCAATACTGTAATTTTCTAGATATAAGAAAAATGAGACCAACAATATTAATATTGATATTTGTCTATTTTATCTTCTTCTTCCTCGCCTTAATCACAACTACTAGGAGACGGCCATTTTGTACATTTTATAAATATACTATATGTTAATATTCTTTAGTCATTTAAAAAATGACTATAAAGAAAAAATTTGAAATTAATAGCATACTAATAAATATAACACAGTTATAAGAGGCAAAATACTCATGACAAAAACAATTTTTTAATCAAATTAATTAAATCCAATAATGAAAATATGATTTAACAAACTTTTAAGAATTTTGGATAAAAGGTATTATTAGTAAACATCAAGTTTATTTATTATCCAATATTATTTACGAGGTTTTAAGAATTACTTAATTTAATTAATAATTTTCAATCACCATTTTTATTTTTTTTTTTAAATAAATAATTCCATTTTGTGAAACATCCATTTTCTTTATTATGATTGTTTCATTCATTAAATGCATTTTATTAGTTTTCAAAATAATACTTAAATTTTTCAAATTATAAGAATGTTATAATTTCCTTTAATAGGGCAGATTCAAATGATAATTACATTATAATTGTTTATACTTAAACTACATAAAACATTTCTAAAATCTAAAAAAAATTTTAGGTTTAATTATTATTTTTATAAATGATTCTATAATTTTGAAATTACTTACAATTTTCGATACAATACCATAACAGAATTATTATTGGAAAATATTCTTATATATCCATACTCAGCAAAAATTTTTTTAAGCTCAGCCCAACTATTCTTCTTATACTCTGGTTTAGCTCCTTGAAAGTTGAATAAAATTACACTAAATTTAATATTATAAGTGTATACATATTATTAAAGCCACATTTAGTAATTAATCCGCCCAAGGTACTCAATTCCGCCACCTTTTATGACTTTTTTATTATGCTTATCAAGAACATTTTTTTTAATTTAAATAAGCAACAAAAAGTCTTCAACTCTCTAATTCATATTACTAAATAACTGGCTAACATTTTTTTCATTCCCGTCGCTAGATAAGGAGGGCCTCCTTATTATTTTAATAATTTAATATAAAGCATAATATTACCTATTATTTCAATAAAAATTTTTCGATTATTTGGGCCATCATCTACTTCCTTTTTACTATGTGCTTTTTCTTCTTTAATTTTCAAGGTATTTTCCAGTTTATTATTAGAATGGATTTCAATTTTTTTACTTTCTACATCATTACTATGATTTACTGCACTATTATCAATCAATAATTGATACTCAGCCATTATTTTATGTTCAGTAGAAGTTATATGATTTTTTAAATTATTAGAGAACCCTAAAATAAACAAACCACATACTTCACAAAATATCTTGAAACTCTCTTTTATATTACAAGCATATCCATTTTTTTCATGATTTTCCCAGAGATCTTTATCAGGTGTAATAAAATCACATACAGTACAAAAATATGCTACTTGATTTTTAAAACCAGCACTGGCTTTATATGATTCTTTCATTTTTTCAAATTGAGTTTTAAAATAATTACTAAAATTTGAGGTTTCCAAATTAAAATTTTGTTTATTTAACACATCCATAACTGAAATCTCTTTTTTTCTATTTTCTTCAATTTCATGATTTATTTCTTCAAAAACTTCTGTAGAAGGTACATCATTCTTATTTTGAAGTTTAAATACCCGTAAGAATGAGTGAAGTTGATTTTTATAGTGTTCAAATATTTGATGACGTTGGCCAAACATTAAGGTTTTACAAATTTTACAACGATGGTCCAAGTTTAAACCTTTAATTAGATTACTATGTTTTTTATTATTTATATGTTTTTTCCATTCATCTAATACATTACACAAATAATTACAAAGAAAGCAATAAAATCCAATGTTTTGAGTTTCTTCATACATTTCTTTATTAATAACAAATTTTAATAAATAAAAATCAAGCTCATTAGGTTTTGAGATAATTTTTTCATTGCTTGTTTCATAGTTTAAACTTAAAATTATATGTTCAATACTAAGTTTATGTTGATTATATATATATAATGAGCAATTAAATTCAATTTGACAACTCGGGCAATAAAACAATTCAGTTGTATCTGATGAAACCAAAACATGACTGTCAGTGTTAAAGTGAATTAGATTCTCTTTAACTTTGAAATGTTTTTTACATGGTTCACAAAAGTAACATTTATCATAATAATTATTTTGTATATCTTTTCTACTAATAAATAATTTCTGCATAATGAGAGATTCCATTGGTAGTGATAAATGATCTATAAAATGTTCATTTTTGCAATGATTAATAATTTGGAGATGTTCACCATAAAACATTGAATAACACAATTTACAAAAATACGAATATAATTTAGTGTTTATTTGTTTAGAGTGTAAAATAGCATGTGTTTCCCATTCTTTATATGTATTACATTTATAAGGACATTCTAAACATTCAAACTGCTGTACAAGAGTTTCAGGATTATTTTCAAAAGTTAATTTGTTACAACTAAATAAATGTATTAAGAGATCATGTTCACATGTTATAAGTACTCCACAAACTAGGCATTTATACGTATCTTTGTCAACAGAAAACCATTCTAATATTGATTTGGAAATTTTTGGACTTTCTAATGATGTTATAGATTTTTTTTTCATTTTCTTATTATTATTAAAACTTGTTTTAGTTAGTTCATCAGACTTACTAGAAGTTAAATATTTTAATGATAAATGTTCACTTGATAGTTCGTGTTTTAGGTATAATTCATTTCCATCATCACAAAAAAATTCTATATGACAAGTATCACAAACAATACGTTGTAATTTAATTTCATGACTTTTACTCCAATGAATAGTATTTGAATTTACTTCTTCATATATTGTACAGGGTTCACAATAATAAAACAATTTTTTATTAGACTTAGTAAAAATACGTTGAAAATTAAATGCCATAAATTTGGAAAATAAAACTTCAGATTGATTTGGATGAACTTTTTGATGGTCAACAGCAAAATATTCACTACCATAGCAATGCAAAGCACACATATTACAGGTATAAGATATTAGGTCATTAAAATGTAAGCATTTTTTTATGTGATCAAGTGTAAATAAATGATACCTCCATGTATTATAACTAGACATTATTTCATTACAAACAGCACAGAAGAATTTTTTTATTTTTTCAAGGTGTTTATAATTATTCTTATCTTGTTTTATGATGCATTCTATTAAATGATTAGAAATTGAATCTTCATTTAAAAGAACTTCAATTTTGCAAGCCTTACAAGTTGCTTTCTTAGAGTTAACAAAATACTGATTTAAAATTACAACTGGTAATTCTAAATTACTTATATAGTTTAATTTATTAGTAGTAATACGCAAATGTTCTATCATTATATGTTCACATGACAAAATATGCTTATCATAGACATCTTGGCTACAATTTAATTCAATCAAACATGAATTGCAATTGAATGATTTGGACTTTTTCATCCGATGATTATATGATTGACAATTTAATTCTGAATCAGAAAATATTTTACATGGTCCACAAAATGACCATGTTTTATTATTTTTAGGATTAAAGAAAAATTGATAAAATACTTCACTTAACAACTTAAAAATGCATGGCAATGCAGACCAATCTTTATGAACACTTTTACAATGAGTCAAAATTTGGTCTTCAGGTCCATAAAACATTGCTTTACAACCACCACAATTGTATGAAAAATAATGATTTCCATCTGTACATTTTGTAATATGAACAGAAGAAATAATGTGTAATTTCCATTTATTCTGTGATTTAAAGTGTACATCACAAAGTAAACATATAAATTCATCTATAAAATAAGATTTCAATTTTTTTTTTTTACAATGTATTATGTGATTCTTCAGTATTGACTTTTCATAACTAACTTTACATTTACAAATTGTACAGCAAGCATTTAAATTATCTTCACATAAAGTAAATTGCTTAAAAACTTCAATTAGTTGATTTGTTCTAAAATTATTACTTATCTTACTTTGAATTTGTATTTTACTTTCAGTTATATTTTTGTTGGATTCAATAATATACCTCAAATTATTTTCATTCTTATTAGAAATTTCTAAAATTGCTTCATTTTTACATGTATTTACATTTGGTACAGACCGTGAATGCGATTTTAAAATTCTAGAATTAGTTTTAACATTCTTATCATCACAAATCAAAGGTGTAGAAATAGATCTTGAAACATATGTTGAACTGGAAGTAACGAATTTAGAATTAGAAATATTTTGATTTTTTAATTTGTTGATTTTATTTTCTATACGCTTTTTATTCATATTTCTTTTTTTTCTTTTTTTTTCTGTATCAATATTTTGCTCATTTTTTCTTGAAAATCCTTCACTTTCTTTTTTATATTCCATTAATTGATTTTCTTTTAAATACTTGAAATTACTTCAGGACACAACACATTTCAAGCACAATAACTAAAAATATACAATATTTATGAAACAATATTTCTTTTTAAAGTCCTCTCTTACAAGCTAATGCTTACACTATAAAAGAAGGCAAACCTTCATAGTGCATTGAAATGAAAAAACATTGGAACCTACCAAACAAAACACAATATATTCAAATTAATATACTTATGTATAATTTGTAGTATATGATAAGTAAAACAGACCTATGAAAGTAAACTCAAAATTCTGAAAAATTTGAAAAAAGAAAATTTGAAGCAAAAACCTATATCAATTTGCAATGGTATTGTCTCACCATAAAACCAATACAAAATTAAATGATTTTTTATTACTTTTTATTAGAAAATTATTTGTTGCCATTATCAAATTAAACCACGATTTTATTATTTTACTGAAGTTACAGAGTTTAAAAGAAATTCATTAAACTTAAAGCATTAATAAAATATTTGTATTTATTTGTAAAAAGAAATATACAATTAATGTTTGATTCAGAGTATAAAAAAAAAAATTGTAATGGAAAATTTTTGTTTTAACTTTAATAGCATGTATCTCAGCTTTTTAGGTTTTAGGATGATCAAAAAACAATTTTGAATTATAAAAAATTTTAATACAAGAAGTGATTTTATTTTTAACATTTAATGAAACTTCTAGTCTTACAAATACATATATAATTATAAATGTCCAAAAAGACTAATTATACAACTATTTATTTACAATATCTTTCTGACAATTTTTAAGACATGTGTTGTTGAATTTTAAATGGTGATGTAGATAAATTCTTTAGAAACTCTTTACATTTATTTTGGCTAAAGAAATATTGGTTTACATGGTCATTAAAACAAATGTTTATAACTTTATATACTTGATCTACTGTTATTATATTTTACTATAGATTATGAAATAAATAATCCAATAAATCAAAAATCAACTGTAACACTTAATATAGCTCTGTTAAAAACTTTTCAGGACTTAACTAAATCGCATACAAAACAAATTCATTATTTATTTATTTTTAAAATAGTCTTATACTAGTATAAAAGTTGTATTCATTATTACTCACAAATTTGTAAAAATACAATAATTTTAAAATATAATAATAAGTTAAACAAAAGAGAAATTTATAATAGACTATCTCTTTAACTCGTTTTAGAAGATATCAAACATTGATTAAGAGTAACATTAAAATTATACAGTATATTGTTATCAAACTTAAATTGTATAAAAACAAAGTAATTAATTTTAATTTACCTTATTCTTTTACAACCAAAATACTGGTAAGATTAAAAATTTGTTCATTACTTGTTGTATAACAACTATAAGGCGTTAAATAAAAAATGATGAAAGAATGAAAACAAAATTTAAACTATTGAAATTACTGATGATGACGACTAATGAAAATTGAACATTCTTAAAAAAATTTGATTATCGCTATCACTTTCAGAGTTTAGAGGAGCAATGTTAGTAACGCGTCTATTAAGTTGTTAAATCTACCGTTTTACATAAACGTTTATATTATATACATTGGGGTAGCGGCACGCACAGTATGGACGTAGTTGGGACAAGATAACTGATAGTGATTACTATCATAAGAAACGCTTCAACAGAAATCTGTAATGTTTAATTTAAGAAATTGGTGGATTATTACAAAAGCAAAATAAACTACTATTTTCTTAATTATATCATGATTATTAGCTCTTAGATTTAAAAGTATATCTTATTAATATAGCAATTAAATATATATAGTATGACATTAATATTTAAAATTTTTATTTTTACGGTGAAATTATATAATATGATAAATTAGTATGTTTTGTTACTTCTATGACAAACTTGTATAGAAATTAAAGGGCTTGAAGCAATACTTTATAAATTTTTTTTTTCTTATGACTAAATACATTGGTCTACAAAGAACTTTCTTTCGGAATTAAAAATATACATTTCTAAATCAACTTTTCGTACTGTTTTTAAATCTAAAATTAGGCATTTTCTGTCATTTCTAAGTTTTAATATAATTACTAATTATCAAAAAATGGGCCGATCATTCATTAAATATCTAGTTGTTCAATGAATAGTCGCAAGTGATATAAAAGTGTTCAAAAAGTAAGGAAACAGGGGGTCTATTTTTGAATCGTCCGTTCGTCGAACGTATACGTTCGTTGAACGGTCACGTTCCTCGAAATACGTCCAACGAACGGACACGTTCCTCGAACGTTCACGTTCGTCAAAATAAGGTCAACGAACGGACACGTTCCTTGAACGGTAACGTTCGTCAAAATACGGTCAACGAACGGACACGTTCCTCGAACGGATTCTATTGTTCCATTAGGTATACGGCCTTTTAGGTATTGTTCGATGAACATATATGTTTTACGATTGTTTGCAATTTATTGTAATAACATAAATAAATATTTTGAAAATTAAATTCATACAGCTTGATTTTTAATATTTTAATATTTATTTTTAATTAATATAATACTTTTTAATAACAATAATTTATTACTAATACATACATTTATAATTTGCTAATTGAATTTATTTGATGTGAATTTATTCTAAGTAATTCGCTAAAACTATATAAATAATTTAATTACACAAATTCTAACAAAAATGTATTTACAATTGCATACAAGTTAAATTAAAAATGATTAATACACTTTAAAACAACAATACTTAAATTTTCGAAAATAAAGTGTTACATATATTTTATTTTATTTATTCATTTTAAGATTAATTGATATAATTTATAAATTATGTTACATATAAATAAATAATAAATTTAATAAGATTTTAGTTCTTAATTGGAAAAAATGACACCCTAGGTCACGGTCTACTCCTAAATACGCCACTGTTTTGAAAAGTTGTTAACATAACAAACATATATTTCATGAATAATTTTCACAAAAAACTTAAGGTAAATTTTTAAAAGATGGTTTATTACAAGGTGCAAGGATGCAACCAACAAAATAGTTGTTACACGTATTACGAGTTTTAATTAATATTACTGAGTAATCATAATATAATATTATGTTTCAATTTATTTAACATATTAACTGAAAAATGGAAATTAATTTATAATACTGAATATAATATTTTAATATTTTATACATTTTTTTTAGACAACGTAATATTTAAAACATAAATATTACTTTTTTCTGCACGTGTTCAAGCAATAGGGGTAAAAAATTTTGAGATAATATACATGTATAATACACAAGGGTTTACAAATACAGGTAGCTAATTGGTTTTTTATGACATCGATATTAACAGGTACACAGCATTGTTATTATTAATAGTAGTAAGGCACATTGTTGTGAGTTTATAAATACACTAACTGACAATACAGAAGGTATATCTAATGATAGTCATAATTGATAATAAAGAATCCGTGACTATGACAGCAATGTCATAAAAATCCAATTAGCTACCTGTATTTATAATCCCTTATATATTATACATAAATAGTATAAGGGATGAACTTAAAGTGTTACATAATTAATAATTCAACAATAATGTGTAACTAAAGATAATCGGAAATAAAAATGTTTAGTTTATTATTATTCTGTAAGTAATTGAGTGGGTAATGATAAAAAAATCACTCTGTATACAATGTATTTTATGGTTGCATTTTTCAAGTGAATTTTATTAAATAATGTGATTTTTGTTTATATTACTCAATTATCTCAAAAAAGGTCTCGCTGCATTTAATGAGATCGTAAACAAATATTATGTATCATTGATGCGCTGTAAGTTGCATTGAAATAATTTGGAAACTATTAGATAATAGTTCTATTTAAAACAATTTTTAATATTTAACTAAAAATTTTTGTTTGTAAATTTCAATCATTTTTTTCAACTAATTTATGTTTTGTAGAACAACATAATTAATTGAAATAATATTTATTATAATAAATATATTTTTATTAATAAAAATATATATTAAATATTTTTTTTATGTTCATAAGTTAATAAGGAAATCTCACTCAAACATGAAGGAGCCTTAGCTCCCTATTTCCGATTATAGCTACTTCTACGAATAATTGATTTGTTTAATGAATTTATTTAATTAAAACGATTTTAATTCAAAATTATATTTTAGGTAAATATGTTTGTCTAAAAGGCAAGTATAAGGGTCAAACCTTTCTTTTGTTATTTATGACCGTCCGTTCGATCGACCGTTCGACCCACCGTTCGCTAACGGATGGTTTCTATTATCCGTTGTGACGAACGTTTTTTAATGTTTTGAACGGTCGTCCGTTCGATGTTTCATACGTTCCGAACGTGTTCACGGACAACGTTCGCCATATAAACCTATATAAAATAAAATCTGAACGTATACGTTCGTGAACGGACGATTGAAAAATAGACCCCCAGGTCAATTGTTACAAACAATGAGAACAATAAAAACCCGTTTCCTTACTTACTGAACACTATACATAAAGAATATGGTAAGATTTTAACGAAATTGTTAAAAAATGATATTGTTATTGATAAAACTAAAAAATTTCAATAAATTAGTAAGAATGCAATTTAATTATTCGCTAAAGTCCACCCAAGTAGCAATTAAAATTCATACCAGGTTCATTTAATATAGTAACAACGGTGCTGAACTCAGTTCAAAATTTATTCATAGCACGGTTCAAAATGAGATTTGAATACTGATTTTAATATAGAGTGAACTGAGATCTACGACAGTTCATTAAACATTTATGGACGATCATTAGCAGTTACTATATTTAAAAGTAAATTTATAGCTTTTGAAAATATTCAAAATTTTATAATTTTAAAATTATATATTGTACTACTGTATGTATCATCTGTATGGACAATATATATTTATTACAGACAATACATTAGGTTGGGCCTTATTCATACTTGGTGATTTTTTTTACCAAATTTGATGTCAAATGATCGGAATTTTGTTCTATACAGCATACAAAAAATATAAGTGAATTTTGAGTGTCCTAGGTCAATCACTTTACGCACCTCAAAGGGATTGAAAATTCACAAAATTATGTATAATTTAGGTTTTTTGTATATATCTTTTTAATTATTATAAATAAAAAAATTCCACAGAATTAATAATGCAGTAAACAATAATGTAAAGGAAAAAGGTCTTTACGAATTTTTTCGTAACATTGATTGTTCAACATCTAACTAATAAAAACTGTTTAATTTTATTTTTTGTGAAAACACAGTACTTTTTGGACTTTAACGTTTATCTCTATAAATATTGCATCTACAAAAATATAGGTACTTAATTAAAATTAAAAAAAATAATAATTAAACGATTAAAAAAAATAAAATATCTTATGCATATTTCTTTACTTATACCTATTTGAAAAATTTGGTTATAGTTATAAATGTATTTAATATAATCGAATCATATTCAAAACCATTAAAAATAATCGATTATTTTTATCAAACGAATAAACGATATTAATTTAGAGTAAAATTTCAAGAGATTCTCTTAATAGACAAGTATACTCGACCAATTTTCTCGATTACTAATAATTCGATTATGCCTATCACTAATTTAAAATATGTGAATGGATACCATTAGCAGTTTTAAAATTGGTTGTCTAGTAACGTTTTTTTTAAAGATAATTAAAAAACCAATAGATAGCGATAGTTTTCCATTACTGTAAAAAGAGAGTGGCCTAGTCAAAGGTTTGCCAAATAGACAGTTACTGTAGGTCGTAGCTACACAATCCCAACAAGAACTATTCAAATACTCTTAGCATAGATTAAATACACATAAATAGGCCACGGCATTCAGACAATTGGCATCCGATTTTTTGTTAATTTATACCCGTAGAGATAGCGCTATATATCCTCTCGAAAATATTAAATATTTAATAATAACTGTCCAGTTTGCTGATATTCAAATAATAGACACGATTATTGATGTACGACTAACATCGTTAGCGCAAATTAAGATAAGAATTAGTTAATACTAAAAGGCGATTGCTATTTGATTTAAATGAAACTTTTCGTTTTAAATACGAATTCGATAAAATATGTGTTTTTTATTTTATTAATATTGATTAAATTTAAATATTATATATTTTTTTTAATTTTCTCTTAGTGTTGAAAATCTTAACTTATTACATAACAATTTCTCGCTACCGATTTGTCCACTGTCAAGATTTTTATATTATTTGGTGTTTAATTTCTTAACTTACCAGTAATCAAGTCTAATAAAGATATTTATTAATAATTACACATATTATAAGGATTTCATGTATAAAATTAGTAATTTATTTTTTCAAATATACAATGAAAATTTAAAAAAAAACAAATTTTAATAATATATAAATTAAAATATAAAATATAGTTTAAAATATAAAAATTTTAAAAACAAATATTTTAGAAAAAAATATTCAAACAAATAAAGCAATTTTAACCGAAGTTCAGATCACTAAAAATGATAAAATAAGAAGTTAAGATATGTTTTTACCGCAATTAAAAAAAATACACTTATTTCCTCGTTGTGTACTCATTGTTATAATTATAATTATATAGATAATAATACAAATAAATATATTAAATGGTAAAACCAAGCAAAAGGGGACCTTAGACTTCAGTACACTAGTGAAAATATGAATAGTGATTATGAAATAGGGAAGATTTTTTTATTTAGTTGGATATTTTTACATTGATAGGTTTTAAAAATAACACAAAAATACAAAATAGGCATGATAATTCGTGTTACAATAAGATGTAAACATATCTAATACATTCTGTTTTTAATGCAATTCCAAATATAATCCTGGCGCCGAGATATCGTATTATTAAATCGTACTCTTTTACGTGGTCAATTTAATAGTACAATTGTTTTACGATCTCTCAAAAAGTGTTAAATTTTATTTTTAATCGTGTTAAGTTTGATGGGTTACATGAATTCATGAAATTAGGCTTGTCAGAATCTATCATTAAAGTAAAAATGACCCATACTAATTATACAACTGGAATTATATCTCTAGCTATATATATATGATCTTATAGTAATTAAGAAAATGTTTTTATTGGAAGTTGTATAACATAAATCAAAGATAATTACGCAATCATACCGATTTTAAACACATCAGAAAAAGATGTTTCGATTTCTATAAATAATATTAAATTTGATTTTTTACAACAAGATTTCATGCTCATAAATAATATGTAAATACTATCAATTGTAATAATGTTAATACTTATAATAATAATAGATTAACTCTTTTAAATCAAAACCTTAAATTAAATCATTTAAACGGCAAAGAAAAGTCGTCTATTAATAATTTATGCAATCAATTTAATGATATATTAATTTTACCCGGTGATAAATTATCTTATACTAATCAAATTGTACATAAAATAATTACTCCTAATGCTCATCCAATTAATATAAAACAATACAGATACCCTATGTGTCATAACGATGAAGTTGATAAACAATTAAAAAATCTTTTAAAGCAAGGTAGCTTTGAAAAGTCAAATAGTCCATGGAATTCGCCTAGAATTCTAAATTTTATAAAGAAATATATATTTTATGTTTTGTCTGTTAATAAATATATATTTGATTTGTTTTATACTCTTTTTTTGTTATTTCCATAAAATTTATAAATTAATTGTTCAAAATAAGAGTTTTACAAAGATTAAATGATCTAAATTATTTTTACCATGTCAGAAATATTTATTAACGATATTTTTTAAAAAGGCACTAGTATAGAATTTACTCAATACCTACAAAAAAGAACAAATCAATAAGTTAATACTTATTTGAGTCATTATGTTATCTTAACTATATGATGTGTTAAGTGGAAAAAATGATACATAATAAATGTATTCGTAAAAAATTATAAAGTTATGTTTATGAATAAAATAAAGTTACACCTTTCAGAAAAGCTAGATACAAAAATAGTGCTTATTATTTAAAAAAAATGTATAAACATGCAAAATCATGTTTGAGTATCGTATTACTAGCTTGATAAATTAATTAGATTAGAAACATAATTTTAAGTAAAAATTAAAATAAAAACAAAGTATTAGATATCTTATTTTAACAAATTTTAAAATTTTATATTTTTCATAATTTCTGAATGTTTAGAATTTATAATACATGATTTCAAAATAAGTTATTTTATATATTTATGTTATTTAAAATATGTTACATGTTTATATATATGAAAACACTATTAATTATTTATTCTATGTATTATTGTTTTGTATTAACTTATATCAGTTTGCTGTGTATCTTATTGTGACTCAAATGTGTTATGTATTAAAATTTTTGAAATAATATTTTAGATATTATTTCTCTTTAAGGGTGATGGTGTCGTGAACCCATAATTATTTTGTAAATTTTAGTTTTAAGGAATTTATATGCAACATTATAATTACTATAAAGTATTATAGTATTAATATTTTAATGATTATTTAATGAACAATGTAAATATAAAAAGAGACTTGACCATCTTCTCAGTGGTCAGTGTTCTATCAGTGAATGTTATATTATAATTAGTTATTATTTTGACTCTTCCTGACAACACTTATCCGCGTTGTCAAATTGGACTTCGAACACCCACTTTATTTATTATTTGGCATCCCTGGAAAATTTGGTTTCAATTGGTTACCACATAAGTAGGTAAATTTAATGGGATACTATTCTAAAATAAATGAAATATTTGAAGCGGACTTAATAAAAAGAAAGCCATGTATGCACATCTAATAGTCCATAATAATATATTTTATTATTGTGGACTATTAAATGTGATTATTATATATCTTGATATAGTAATACAAATACAAAATAAGTATAATATAAAAGCTTTGTGATATTGGGGCACAGCTCACATGATGATTTTTATCATAAAGATTTTTCAACTCATCCTAATTACAAAGTAATTTATCTGCCACTGCTTTCTGTTTAAAATAATTTATAAAAATATTTAGAGACCAACAGTTTAGTCTTGTACTGTAATACCACATTTTATATCAAAGTCCTGTTAAGGATTCTTAGTATAGTATTAAAATAAAAAATTAAATAAAATTTCAATGAAAAATAATTACAAAGAGTTAAAATCATAAATAACCTTACATTATGTCATAAAATGCAATTAACGTGCATAACAATAACAGTTTAATTATGTGCATCATACATTCATTTAATAATTATTAAAGATATAAAATACCACGTATATTTCAACCAATAGAAGCACTCAAAATTTACGCTATCTATCAGCATAATCGCCTGCGTCCAGTGCATCGTTTCCCTGCGTCCATTCATGATAAAAATTGGACTGCCAAAATTGTGTACGGCGTGGTCTATCTATATGTATTTAATCTATGCTCTTAGGTCATTACTGTTATCATTTGGGGATCAACTGTATTTTGTACCAGCGGAACGATAGTGTAATCGGTCCTACTCGTTCCACCATGTATTCGTTACTTTGGACCGATTACACGAGTACCGACCCATTTGTTAGTTATCACAATTTATCTACAAATGGGATGAAATGAAAGTGTATTAAATAAATTTCCCCTTCATTTATCAATATTTTCTGTAATATAATTAATGATATTCACAATTTATAAATAACGTTATGAAATTATTACGATAACTTGTATGAAATTGATGCTTACATTAAACAAAGATCATTTTGTACTATCATATTCAAGTTAAATATTATACGGCGTAAAGATTACGTTATTTCCTCAACGAATTTGATGGTATTAGCAAATAGTTAACATATTCTATTGCATCAGTAGGTCCAATTAAATCATAAACAAAGAATCTAAAAAGTTTTAGTTATTATTTTTATCATTTCACTAATTATTTGTCTAATTTAATTATGAATTGTCATTTCATCATGTTAATATTTTGGTTAAAATTCAACCAAGATGAATAATAAGCAAATATTATTTCTGAAATTCAAAGAATTAGGAACAATAATATCACCAATTAATTAATAATTAATGCATTAAACTTAATATTATGACATTGTAGTTACTTATTACCTTTAATTTTCTTGTATTTTAAGCTTTGATGCAAAGCTGAATGGTATTTTTACTATGATGTGTTTTTAACATATAAAGGATGTATATTTCATATTTTTATTTCCTATAATGAATATAATCTTGTGATGGTTAAATGGAGGAGATAGTGAATAAACTCCAATAGTCATAATATTTTTTAAATTTTGTAATAGTTTTTTTATTTTATTGCTTAAATTAATAACATTTTTATTTGATAAATATATTCAAACATTAAATGTATAATATATGATTTTATAGTATATATAGAAGATTTGCATTATGGAATTGCCAAAAAGAGTTTTGTCTATTCAAAGTCATGTAGTCAGTGGTTATGTAGGGAACAAAAGTGCCGTTTTCCCTTTACAAGTATATTATATTGATAAATAATAGTTATATTACTAGGATATGTATTTTTATTTAAAGAAATTGAGTTTTATAAATATATAAATTAGAAATAGCTTAAAAATTAGAACGACATTGAATTGTTGATGAGATAGCATTATATTTTTCATGATTTAATTTGTTAAGTAATAAAAAAAAAAACAAAATACGGAAGTAAATATACTTAGTGAACAATATATATAATATGTATTATTGTGTTCCGAGTATCAATTTTACATATTTTGTAATATAATATGCCAATATTGGTATAAAAAGTATATATTGTAGACTTATAGATATTCAATACAAATAATTATAATCTTCCTGGTTTTGGACTGAAAATGTTATTGGGAGGACATTAAACCCAAATAGTCTGGATGATTTTGATCGTTTAATTTAGTTTTTATTTTTCATAATAGTGGTTTTGACTTTTTTTTATATAAGGCATGTTATGGAATAGAGTTTGTCTCTTATATTAATATATAATTATTGTATTAGGTACTTTGGTTAATTTCAGTCTTTTGGATTAAAGGGGAATATTCATTTGGCCCACAAGTAATAAGGGTCTATTATAAAAAGATCATAGTGTTGATAAAATAATTAAAAAAAAAAAAACTTGTTAACGATTTTTATGAACATTTTTTTTATGCGACATGTCAAAAAATCTGGCTTTATTTCCCCAAATAGGTATAATTCATGTCTGATTAATTTAGATTTGTGGTCTTATATGTAGGTTTAATAAATGACCTCTGAAAAAATTTTACTCTTACCTTTAAAATGGTTATTTATCCTCCATTTCCATTAGAAAATAAAGTTATTTTTAAGATTTTTAAAAATAACATTCTTTTAGCTTCAATGTGAATCTGAAAAGGTATTAATTTTACTATAATACTATAGGTTATGGGATTTGAAGTTGATGCCATCAATTCTGTTCAACTTTCAAATCATACCGGTTATAAATTGTTTTATGGTCAAGTGTTGAATGAACAAAACCTAAGTATGAGTATAAACTAGATTATAAAGTCATTTATATATTTTTACATTTAAAAAAAGTAGAAATTTTAATAATTATCTATATTTTTAGTGGAATTAGTGTCTGGTCTTGTTGAAAACGATATACACTTTTACTCTCATTTGTTGACTGGTTATATTGGATGTCCAAAATTTCTATCAAAAGTGGCTGAAGTTTANTTTAAATGGTTGTCAAAATTGAACAAATTTATTAAATATTTATTCATAAATTATACTATAAACCTAAAAACTTCTAATCAGGATATAATTAAGGAAATAAGAGACACTATCTCCAGATTTGTATCAAAGCATTTCTTTTGATAGTGATTCATTCAATTATTTTCAGATATCATCTATATTTTGTTTATTTAAAGTTATTTTTAATTTTTGTTTAATTTAGGTTATGGGATTTGAAGTTGATGCCATCAATTCTGTTCAACTTTCAAATCATACCGGTTATAAATTGTTTTATGGTCAAGTGTTGAATGAACAAAACCTAAGTATGAGTATAAACTAGATTATAAAGTCATTTATATATTTTTACATTTAAAAAAAGTAGAAATTTTAATAATTATCTATATTTTTAGTGGAATTAGTGTCTGGTCTTGTTGAAAACGATATACACTTTTACTCTCATTTGTTGACTGGTTATATTGGATGTCCAAAATTTCTATCAAAAGTGGCTGAAGTTTATAAAATTTTAAAAGAAAAAAACCCTAATTTAATATTTGGTAAGTTATAGTATTTTATTTTTTTAGATAACTTAAAAATGAAATATATCTATAAAAAAGAAAATATCATTAGGAGTTACTATTATTTTTACTGCAGATAAGAAATGGCTTTAGAAGATTTGTTTTATTTGTTTGTTTCATTTAAGTAGAGTGTGACTAAACAACTTCAATTTATCTTCTTTAAACAACACTGGTCAGTCAGTTCTATTAGTAGCACTGACCAGTCAATAATTCTAAGTCCATTCTCCTTATTATAATATAATTATAGTAATATTGTTAAGTTTTTTTATATATTAATAAAAAATAAAAATATTGATTATTATAAAAAAAAAATATTTTTTTTAATCAGGGACAGATTACAAAAAAATTTTAACTGCAGGAAAATGTAACATTGATCTAACCTTTTGCTACTAATTCTTGTACACTGAAACTTCCTTTCAACAGAACTTTATTAGGTGAAAACTTTCTTTTAACAGAAAAAAGCTTCCGTTAAAAGGAGGTTTTAATATATATATATATATATTACAACAAAATAGTCATTGAGAAACTATCTAATTTCCAGTCATCAATTCTTCTGAATTTAGTTTATTTTTGTGAAAAAATCTTTGTTTTACAACAAAATGTTTAATAGATATAACTTCAATGTGTAAATGAATTTACACATAGTGCTCATATTGTATATCCACTATTAAAAGTAAAAGTATTTTTAATATTAATTTATTAAATTTTTGAATAGTTGGGTTGAGTAGTAGATTTTCAAATCAATTTTATCATTTTAAAATTATTTATTGATTAGAATATTGTGCTTCATTTAGTGGAATCACTGTTTTTTTCCAATAAACAGGTTATTTTGTATTTGAATTTAATAAATTTTATTTATAATTTTTTTTAATTTTTAGTGTCCTGAAAATTTATTATTTTTGAATGAATACCTCCTCGCAAAAACTGTAATTATTCCAATAAATATACATAGAACAATTTTCTGTGTTCTTGTTCTTCATATATTATTTATTTTCAGTAGTTTTATTATATTTATATTTACAGTTTGTGATCCAGTATTGGGTGATAACAAAAAAATGTATGTACCTGAAGAAATGTTGGATGTTTATAAAAATGAAATAATATTTTTAACTGATATAATTACTCCCAATGAATATGAACTTGAGTAAGATTTAATCCTGTTTTTATATAATTAATTATTGATAACTATATATATATGTTTTTGTATTTATAACAATAGATTGTTATCTGGTAAAATTATTAATACTGTAAAAGATATAAATGAGGCCATTACAATATTACAAAACTTGGGTTGTAAAACTGTGGTAGTTTCTTCATTCAATCATAGTGAAACTAATTTGAAGTCAGTTGGAAAAAGTATTTTTAGTAGGTATCATGCATTTTACTTGATTTTAATTGTATCTTTATAATTTAATTATATATTTTTTAAACATATTCAAATGTATTGTACAAGTCTTCAAACTTTATAATTGACCTAATCCAATCTAAAAATTAACATTTTCTGGATGGTCTTTAGTATTTTTTTACAGATCTTAACTAAATTATGAAGTAAATAATTTTGTTTTAAATATTCTAAATAAGTTACATTTTTTATGTAATTAGTTTTAGAAATATACTTAGGGTTTAAACTCCCAAATATTTTATTATTTAAGTAATTAAAGGGAAGATACACAAGAGTCTTCTTAAAGTTTCTATTTTAAATGTAATATCATTATATCCTTTTGTGTTTTCTTATAAACATTAAATATTTGAAAGTTTATTGAATTTCGAATTTTTATTTAAATCACAGGTGAAAATATTGTAGAAATTGACATACCTTACATCAAGTATTCATTTATTGGTACTGGTGATTTGTTTGCTGCTTTATTATTACTATGGATGTCATTAAATAATAATAATTTGAAAGAATCTATGGAAAAAACTATTGCTACTATTCAGGCTGTTCTAAAACGTACTGTTCATTGTAAGAGTAAAATTTTTTATTAGCAGTGTTTATGTAAAATGTTTTAAACCCATTTTAAATTATCTTTAAGAATAGAATGATAATTTTAAAATTATTAAACATGGCACTACTTCTATTTTGAAACAAAACCCTCAAATATTTTGTATAATAATTTGTTTTATTAAATATTTATGTAATTACAGATATAATACAAGCTAATCCAAAGAACTTTATGTTTAACAAAGAACTTAAATTAATTCAAAGTATTAGTGATATTCAAAACCCAAATGTTACAATTTTTGGAAAATTAGTTTAATTTAAAGTATTGTTTCCTTTATAACATACATTTTTTAGTCTTATATAATGATTTTATTTTTGTTCATTAGTGAGAAATTTTGTAATTTGGAATTATCAATAATAGTCATATTATATTAATAATTAATATAGATAGATAAAATATTTATCTAATAATTGTATAATTTTATTTGAGGTTGATTAGTTATAATATCTAAAACGAAACCTTTAAATATTGTTATTTTATGTCTTCCAAATTTCTATACCATTTTCAATAATTAAAGTAGAGTATAAACATACCAAACTTATGCAAAAAATAGTATAAAAATAAATATTAAAAAAATAAACTTTGTTGTGTTATTTTGAATAAAATTAATTTTAGATTTTTACTTACTAAGTATGTAAAGTAAGTATTAGCAAAAACTTACTGAAGTATTTAAGTTTTTGAAAATGACTTAATTTTTATTTATATGTTGATGATATTTAAATTTAGCTAATTTTAGGTTTACTTAATAGTCTAAATTTAAAACTTGATTTGCAATAGTCAATAAATTTATATCACCTAAAACCTTATGCATTATAAAATATACTAATTAAAAGACATAAATATCTTATATATATTTTTTTTAAGTTTTGTCATAACCTGAAAATACACAAATATAAAAGTTGGGCATTATTATTTAGTGCCCAATAAATATTATTAAATGCTTTGTAGACCAAGTAAATCGTTGTTTCATTAAATTTATAAAGATAAAGAAATTTTCTTTCAGTTTGGACTAAGTACACTACTAGTAAAATAAACTTGATCGATACTGAGAAATTAATTTTTTCCATTACTAAAAAATAATATTTTTAATAAATTTATTTTAATTTTTATAAGCAAAAGTGAATGAGTTCATCAATCTTGTAAAAAATACTTTTTTTTTATATTTTCAATAAGTATTTGAAGAAATGGTTGAAAAGGTATTCAGAATATATATTTGAATGTCAATAAAATTAAAAAAGTCAGATTTATAAAAAAAAATATGTAAAATGATTGGTAAATACTTCATGTATCTATAAAAAAAATTGTATTGATCCATACATTTTTCAAAAATTTATTGCACTTTTAAGTAAAAAAAAAAAAATAGTAAAAATGTCAAAAATTAGCGATTTTTAAATTTGTAATTTTTTTTAGATTTCTCCCATTTACGGAAAACGAGGGAATTTTTTTTTCAAATTTTGTGTGTAATGTTTTCAGCTAGATACGATTTGTGATCTTTTGACGTATCGTTGAAAGAAATCAGTTGAGTAAGAGCTGAGAAAAAGTGGTAACAAACACAAAAAAAAAAAAACATCATAATAAAATTAATACCTTCTCAGTTTTGTATCGAATCTAAAAATAATATGAAATACTTTAAATTATTATACACTATACTTATTTAAATTTATGAATACCAATTTTTTATTTTTTTTTTTAATCAACAGTGTGTGTTTAGATTGAATAAATTTAACTCTTTTCATTAACAAATGAATTACTTAACAATATATTTTATTATGATTTAAAATATATAAATGACTAAAAATAATTTTTTTTCTGACTTCACGATTATACAAGGTGTTAGTAAATTCAATGTCACGAGTAGTAGGATGATATTCAGTAGGACCTAAAAATAGCGAAATCAAAAACTAAAATGTCCTATCTCCAAAATTGTGGTTTTTCTGGTTCCCCCACTTCAAATTTTATTTTATTATATTATTTATAATATTTATTTTATATGTAATATATTTTTAATGAAATTTTACTGGGAGTCCTGTGATGTAGTTTATTTTTAGTTTAAACGATTACATAACGAGAAAAACCCACATATAATGTGATATTTTTATAATTTCACGAGTTTATTTCGTCTTTTATTATTCGATTATCCCCATTCCTGACACAGCGCACCAAACTGTGACTTTCTCACAATGCAGAGGCTTTTCGTGTACCTTTCTTGGATTATCGGCACACCAATAACAGAAGTTCTGCTTGTTTACGCTGACAGACAAGTAAAAAAGTGCCTCGTCACTAAAAAAAATTGCGGATGTACACTTCCACGGGGAAAGCGCGCTGTGGATCGGTCCACATGATAGTTCAGACTAAATCCGTTTCAAGATAAAACTGTTTACTTTGCCGCTTGTACTTACGCTATCCTAACTTTTCTAACTTTTAACGAGATCGTATTGAAAATAGGGAGACAGTTATGCCGCACCTGTATTTATTTAAATGTTAAAAAAATACTGTTCACTATTAAATAGTCACTAATTAAGTTGCAAAAAATATTAGATAACTTTTAAAATATAACAATGAAAATGCATAAATTGCAGTAAAAACGAATAACCTGTATTGTAAAAATATTATAATGTGCGTCATTTTCTTAAAAATGTAATTTAAATTTACACTTTTTTATTTACAAAACCACCCACTGTTAAAGCATTTATTTTAAATTTTTTACAGACTAAATATTTGACCCGCAAGAATTTTTGTATTTGTTCTTGGGCTCAGATTTGAGAACCTTTGACAGTAATGCTTCTGGTTGTAACCGTAAAAACAGCAAGTTGAAATAAATAATAGAACTCAGTTGACTTATTAGATGTATAAATAATATTTCAAAAGAATATAACGTAAACAATTATCAAATAAATAGTTTATAATAAACATTCATATATGCATAAAAATGAATGGTAAAATTGTAACTTGTACAGTGTAGACCATACAGATGAACAGTGGATTATTTTGTAAGTAAAGCCTTGCGGCTTTTATAGTTCCTAGTTAATGAAAGTTGTGGATTGACTCTCATGTCTTTTCTAGGGACGGTTTCTGAACATGATTTGGAGGAAATCTGTATCTCATCATGCTATACTACAAAAAATAATTTTATCTTTTAAAAGCCGATTTAAAAATTACTTGACCACAACATTTGACTAAAATAATACGCTGTCTTTATAACAAGTCTAGATGTTTTTTAAGGTTTAATTATTTAATTAACTTATAATAAATATCGAAAATATAAACTATTGCATTATGTTATCAAAATATTGTACATCGAGATAGGCATTGGAAGTGGTTATTTGTTGTGTAATTTTTGTCGAGCAGATTGTTTCCGTGTTCCAGTTTATGTATATCATGAAGAAATAACCACTACTGTATGCTCAAAAGCAAATTAATCATTGGAAAATTGGTCAAATCGTTAAACTTTAATAATCAACAATAGAAGAACGTTTTATCAAATAAAAATATAAAACAAATTAAATTTTTTTTTCTATCATATAATTAAACTAAAGATATGAAAAATATTGATTTAACTACATATTATTGTAGAATTTTTTTATTTATGAACATTTTTAATTTACAATCGTTTACAAGAAAATGAATGTCTTATATTTAATGGGTCACTTTGAATACATATATAAAGGGTTACGGAGATTGCCACGAACTGATGATGCCCAGACATTCATTTACTCCGTCACTGTAAAAAAATCCTCCGAATACATTTACTACGAATATAGGGTTACAAAAATTTGGATTTTACTAAGACCATGAATACTCCGAATAGGACTATTAATTGATTGCTCCGAATGAAATTAGCTCCGGATACCGATTATTCGCGAAATCGAATTAAAAATTATCAAATTTCGGAGTAGATGAATATAGTAGCAATATAATAACTGATGGAAAAATATAACCCTTATCACTAATTAATAAATATTAATTAATATAATAAAATAGCGTTATAATTGATTACTGTCTATTAACGAATAATTATTATAATAAAGATCCCCGAAATGTATCCGACTTTTGATAAAAAAGGTACATAAAGGTAAGAAAGAGGGCTTTGAACTAAAACAACCCGTTACATAACTGGTGTGAGCCCTTAAATTTTTTTTTTTGGAGGGGAAAGAAGAACGATTCCAATTTTCAGACATAAAATCTTTTTTATCTCGCCTTATTAGTGCTTATTATAACATTATAAGCACATTAATATTATAACATTTAATTAGTTTAGTTAAAAAATATAGGGGTACGTTTCATTGATGATAGGATTCGACATTAATCTTATTAGGGGAATACACTGATTTTCATGAATATTATATAATTTAATTGACATAGAATAAAGTTCATAAGACAAGATATTAAACGTATTAAATTTTTTTACTTTTTTAAAGTCGAAAAAGTAAATTTTAAATTTGAGTTGGCTTAAATAGCTATTTTTTCGTGCGGAGAGAGCAACGAACAGTTGCCGAATTGGTTACAATTGTGTCCTTCGCGCTAAGGATACGAGGTTCGAATCCGTCAGTACCAATTAATATTTTGCATTTTTTTTGAGATAGAATAAAATTTTTAAATCATTTGATATTTATCTCATTTAGATTCAATAACTTCAATAAATATAAAGAATCCTATTACTATAGTCTCTTCTCGCGAGAGGAAATTGATATTCATGTTAATATTATTTTACTATGTGGTTCTTTTTGTGGCTACGATTCATTTTGCCAACCCTCACTAGACCTACTTTTTGCAACAATACGTCAAATTATTACAATTTGTATTTAGTTTAAGTTATTACTCTTAAAAATTGAAAAAATATTCTTTATTCAAATAAAAAGTAGCTTAACCAGCTTTTTCCATACAAACAATTAAAATCATTAATTTCTGATATTCTTATTATTAATTCTTAATTTATTTTCGAATTATATTTGATATGATAAAGGTATTCAACTACAATAGTAAATAATTTTACTTTGTAATTTATTAATTTTTTAAATTTATTTGTGTGTGCTATTACCAGTCTATAATATTCCAATTTTGTTGGTAACATGTTGCTATATAAATCATAAATATAAAAAAAAATTATTTTTAGTTTCACCTGAATTTAACGATGGATTTTTACAATTATAATCAAATATTATAATACGCTCAATTGAGTAAATCTTTTTAACAACTTTTTTTTATTGGTTCTTTTAGTTAAAGTAAATCAAAATTAATTAAGTTCTAAAAATTTCCATTGGAGAATCTTTTTACACACCAAAAGTTAATTAGAAATGATTACTATGATTTCTATTTAAGTGATCTATTACGAGAAAAATGTAAAAAAAATCTAACTTTTCTGATAAATGTACTGTAAATAGTAATTATAAAATTTCCTAATTGCATATTAATCTTAACAATTTCATTTTTTTTCTATTTAATAATATCAATTTCAAACTTGCAAGTTGAGCTAAAAGTTATGATAATAAATTCATTTTTTTTTTATTAAAACTTTCACTTTGAAGGACAAAAAAAAGAAGGTTCAAAATGATTTCTTTTAACATATTAAAAATCAAAATCAATAATAATTTTAAAACAATTAATTTTAAAAATTATATAATATATAATTAAAAGAATTACTAATCTGGGTATAATTAAGGAAATAGAAGTTGATGTTGCTTTTGTCCATAAATTTTTTAAACACTATCTACAGATTTGCATAGAAGCATTTCTTATGATTGTGATTTTAATCACTGTCAGAATAAATCTATGCTGGACCTAACTATGCAACGTCCCCACTGTGCTGGGTTTTTTTTTAAATTTAATGTCTGAGTAAAATCCGTCGTAATTTTGGTAACCTATGGTATCAGATGTTCGTAACAATTACTACTTTGTTAAATGTCGAAGTATGTAAATGTCGGAGCATTATCAGTTCGTGGCAAAGGTGCTTTCCCCATATATTATATAAATGCCCCCTTCTACAGAAAATGTGTTGCAAAACAGAATCGCCTGATAAGGCCTCACGCCCAAACAATTTTATCATAGTTCGTGTTGTGCTATTAATGCTGAATAAATTTATAGTTAATAATATCAAAAATCTATGTCTTTTGTTTCATCAAGATATATTTTGATAAACAATGTATTAACATCTCAGAACACGTTTAGCAGTGCTGTGTTTTGAAATCTCGAGAATAACAAAACAAATTTATTAGTTAATTCATTATATAATAAAGGACTATTATTTTAATGAAATGTTTCGTTCTGTGTCCTTGATCCTGAAATCATCCTTCAATAGCAAGCCAGTTTGTTTATTTAGGCGTTTACAAAGGAATGGCCATAGAAGTTTTAATTGCATATCAAATAAATCACAAAATGAAACCAAGTCAGTGATGAGGTGTTTTACAACTATTAAAAATAATTTGTTACCCGTATCTTTTACAAAATTATATTTTTCTACAGTATCCAAAGAGGATTTAACGCCTAAAGAAAAATTTAAAAAGGCTGCCAAGGAGTATGGTTTTGTTTTAGTAGCATTTCATGTTGGTATATCTTTAATGTCATTAGGCTCAATATATTTTTTCATTATCAATGGTTTTGATGTTCAACAATGGATATCCTTCATAGGAATGTCAAATACAGATGAAAATACCAAAATTGTAGCAGGTGCTAGTCAATTTATCATAGCATATGCAATTCACAAATCGTTAGCACCATTTAGAATATCAATTACACTTGTATCTGTTCCATTAATTGTACGTTATCTAAGAACTAAGGGTTTTATGAAAAAAAAAAATTAAATTATGTTTATTCAAATTATATACAACTTGATAATCAATGTCTTTTGCTGCCTGGGTTTTTTTTGTAAAAAAAATAAAATAATTCTATAAATGTTTAAATAATGATTTTTGGTTTTGAAAGGGTTAGTAGCAACATTTGTAAATATTTCCTATTTTATTTTACATTTTTTTACTACTGTATTGTATTTATTTTATTTTTAAATTTAACTAAATTACTTTTTAATAATTTTGAACATTTTAAATAAAGTTAATTAAATTTTAGTAAACTAAAGAAGTTTTTTAACACCTAAATAAATATTTTTGTTTCATCAAAATAGCAATTTATTATCATTTCAAGAAAATATGTTTATATAGTAAATAAAGCAATAACCATAAAAAATAAATAAAATTATGGTTTTTTTGTTGTTTTATTTATTTACATCTCAAATAATTAAGGACGGCTATAATAGCGAAGTAACTTATAAGTTAAAATTGAAAAACTACACAGAATGTATAAGCATAAATTATACAATCAGAAAGTATTTTGAGGAGTGGCATTTCTATAAGACCTTAGTATTAAAAATATGAACATTTTTGATCATTTTAGTGCCTTGTGTATTTGTTTTTTTAATCTAAAATGAGAGAAATAGTATTGATAATTTATTGATAAAAATTGATAAAAAATTAATTACTTGTATTTTGCATTTCTACTTATTTTTTTTTGTAATATGTTTAGATAATTGATGCCCATCTTCAATTTTATCTGGGGATAAAATCCTTTTTTTATCACTTTCATACTAAAAAATATTTATTTAGAATTTAAACTTTTATAAAATAATGATCAAATTCATAAGTGAAAATAAATAGAATGCCAAAAAGGAAAAAACTTATTAAAGATTTCAGAATTTAGTTAGTGTCCGTATTTAGGTAACACCTTATATACATACACTGTATGATGATGTATTATCACAGAAATTTCCTTTTTTTTGTTTACTATGAACAAATGAGTAAGGAACTTCATCAGAATCCAACTCATCTTCATGTTCCTTTTGAGCCCATCTTCTATCTTCATCGTCTTCAATAACCTTTAAAAATTAAAAATTAAATATGCTATATTAAATTTTTTTATATAAATGTGGCAAAATATCATTACAGGTGTAATTGCAATATCATCTAAACTTGACTCTATACATTTGGCATGGTTGTTCCCTGTTAGTACAACTTTAACAGTACCATTTTTATTTGTTTGAAATGTATATGGAACATTTTCTGCTTCACCCTCGCAAGAATAATTATCTTCATATTCATCGTCATAATCAGGAAATTCAGATTTAACATTGGAATCGCTTGTATATGGCAAATTAGATTCATATATGGCATCTGGATCATCTTCATCTTCAATAATTTCTGGTTTAATACAAGATATATTGATTTCGGGGCCATCACATTCAGGTAGTAAATCATATTGTTCAATTTCTTGAATTTCCTTAAAAAAATCAATAAAAATGATTTTAAATGAAGATGAAATGAATTTAATAATCACTTGAGTTGAAGTTATATATTTCTAAGATATTAGGGTTTATTCATAAGGTATTAAAACTAAAAGGCAAAAATATAAGAAAAAATAAAACTATAAAATGAATACCATAACTATAATAAGTTTTGGATAAAAATAACATAAAAAAAAAAAAAAAAAAAAAATGTTAATTACATAAAATAATAAAAACCCGTTTTTAACAGTTTGATAATGTTTCAACATGTTAATAGTCATTCTATAATGTTATATAATAAATAATGTTTTCATAAAAAGTATTATAAATAAATAACTCCTTAAGTGTTTAAACAACAATAAATACTTTAGAAAAGTTATGTTATAATAATATAAAGTGTAAAATAATAATATTTTTTAAATATTGAGAACTGGTATATATTGTCTAATTTTTAATTTTTGTCCATTAGTTAAATTATAAAATTACCTCTGGTTCTTGTTTTACTATCAAAGGTGATCTATGCGTATCAAATTCATTCATTTCATTAGGCTAAAAAAGATATAGTACTTTTGATTAATTCAATTAATCAAAAATCATAAAAATTAATCTAAATATTTTATGATTATTTGTACCAATTTATCTACTTGTCCTGGAGGATTAACATTTCCTTTGCCACGTCTGAACCTCAATACTACAGATCGACTATCAATAACTAAATTATATTTTTCTTTATAAGCTTGAATTGCATCTTCAGCATTTGAAAATTTAATGAAAGCATATCTATAGAATAATCAATTATAAATTAAAGTTGAGAATTTTATAGTACAGTAGATGTTGTTTATTAAAATCATAGATAACATGATTATTCAGCTATCCTGATTCAGGTTCTGATCATTTGTATATAAATACACTGGAACTATTTTAATTAGTAAAATCAACAATCCCCTTTATGTTAACATTTTGTATAAAAAAGCTGGCTTTATTTTTGAATTCTAAGCAGAACTCTAATGTTTTCATTACCCTATTATCATCTAAAATTAAAAAACATGTTTATGTTATTTATGTGCTCTTATTACTCGAAACAGTTGTTTTTGTCATTAATAATCATAATTAAAAAACGTGAACTGTTTATGACAAGAGGGCACTTCTTAATTCACACAATAAGCTTTCTAAAATGAGTCCATGTAATACAGCGGGTATGCAAAAATTTCCTAATATTTTCTTAACACATTATTGAAAAATTGCAATGAACTTGATAGTTCTGCTGTTAAAAATAAAAATAAGTCGAGGAAGAGAATACAGTGTGGAAAAGAAGAAGATGGTTAGCTAATGCTGAAGGATTGGTTTTATGTGTATGGGATCAAGAAGCTTAAATTGCTCAGTATGTACAATAGAAATGAACATCTATCAAACTATCCCGAGCTCTGAAAATGAAAAAAAGTTGAAAAAGATATACCATTAGAAGCTCCTCTCTCTGTATATGATGCTCTCAAAGTTTAACAAAAATGTTAACATTATGTTCAAAATATGGCTAATTCCTTTACTAATTTAGATATTTTTGAGAAATTCAAAAATAAAACTATAAAGAAATCAAAATTACAGTGCATAATTGACAAATATTTAAAAAGAAATTTATTTTATCTGAATATTATTTAATAACACTTAATATTTGACAATACTAGTAGGTTTTGAAATTCTGTTAATAAAAAATTTAATTTACTAGTTAATTTTTGATGATTTAATTTTTCCTAAAACTTAATGTGAAGTTTGTTTAGTGAGATTATTTGGTAGTAGAGTAGCCAGAATTTTTGCTAATTTGGATAATTAGCTAATGGAGCTATGGGGCTTTAGACCTTGACTACGCCACTGTTATTTAGTTAAATTCTTTGTGGTCCCAATGTGATCATAATAAGCACTGTCTACTATACTTTATTAAATAACTAAATTTTTAAATATTTTTACCTAGTATACTTCATTTTTTTAGCAAAGCCAATATCAACTCGAGTCGCTTTAGGAAATTCATCTTTAACTGCATTAGATGTAATGTTAGTTGGCAAATTACCAAGATATAACCTAAAAAAAAATTATCAATCTTGTTAACATTTTTTAAACTTACTTAAAATTGAGTTTATAATACTCAATCAATTAACTATCTTATACAATTAATAGACAGGTGTGAGAAAAAAATGCTAGGGTTTTAAAAATCCATAAAACAAACACTATTAAATTTAGCTTTTTTTTTGTAACCATAGATATCATAGTTTTTTATTATTTATTAAATAAATAATAATTAATAATTTAACCAAACACATAAAAAAAAAAAAAAAAAAAANTTTTATTATTTATTAAATAAATAATAATTAATAATTTAACCAATAACATAAAAAAAAAAAAAAAAAAAAAAACTGAAAAAGAAAACGAAAATAGTCTTAATTCTTAATACACTGATCATCAGTGGCAATACACTAATGTAGTTGATTTTCAAAACCTTGAGCTACTTTTCGAAATATTTCAAGGTATAATGTGGTAAATTTGAATAATTTAAATCTTCACCTCTTATAAGTAATGTGAACGAAGTTTGAAATTTTTTTTCTTCAAATTAATCCCCCTAATAAAAATCACACATACTTAAATGAGGCCAGTAAACAGACCATCCCATGTTACCCCTGAAAGAGATCATTCGTTAATATTTATTAATCAAATTTTTGGGAAGCCACAATTTTTACTTTTGAAAACCAATACATCAACTAAAAAGTATATTTTAATAGTTATGATGACACTCTTCCTGAACTCTTCTATCCAAAAAGCTTTCAGAACTGGACATTTTTTTTTACTACATCCTGTAAAACATTGAATTCTAATTTAACTCTTACGTATAAGGATCAATACATTCAGGAAATGGTTTTTCCTCAAATTGACTTTCTTTTATTTCCACTCGTAACTTTTCATGTTGAAAAATTGTTTCATTTAATTCTTTAGCGACACTTTCTATATCTGCATTTGGTTGTACTTGTACATAGCAATACCTAGAAAAAAAAAATTATTTCTTCCTTTAATATCAAGTTTCTTACTGGAAGGTAATTACAATTTAATATTGTAGCTATGAAAAAAGGTTTTCAAGCTTTTCATTATTAAATGTTGATTTTGTTTTTTTTTAAATTATGTTCACTTAACAAAATAAAATAAAAATAGTAAATACAACAATTAAAGACCCTTAATTTAATTACCTTGGGTTACAAGGTGTATGAAAATGTACAGATTTAATGTCTGAATGGAAATTCTGTACAATTTGTCTTGTTATTTCATGGTCCGGAAATCTTATCATTATTTGTTGGTTATTTTTAGGTGTACGAAGTTCCATCTCAGCAGCAATCGCTTTCTCTGCATCTTCACGATTCCAAGGTTTTTGAGCTCGTTGCGGTTCTCCAGATTGTTGAGATTTTAGTTTACGTTTACGGGTCTTACTTTCAGCTACTGAACTTGATTCCTAATTATTTTAAAAATAAATATAGTATACTGTACATACATGCGACCCATAGTTACATACAGATGCAAGACTAGTCTAGCATCCAGAGAGATGGAGAAATTACAGAGCTTCAAGAGGAAAATATATCGACTGGTACACAATAATGACGTGGATAGATTCAAAAGAAGAACAAATGAAAACCTGTGGCAGCTGTACAATAAATCGAGTCTATGGCATTCCTTATTTAGAAAGAGACTGAAATGGGCAGGTCGCATCTGGTAAGCCTTAGGTATGCTAATGAAGAAGGTCACAGAAAGCAAGATAACAGGAAAAAGACCAAGAGGTAGATGCTGCCAGTGATGGATTTATTTAATAGAAAGACCTAAAAAAGTCAATTCTTTGTTAGATAAAGAGTAGCATTGGGCAGAGAGAAGTGGAAAAGTATTCTAGAAGGTCCTGAATGGACCGCTATAAGCCTAGGAAGAAGAAAGATAAATATAGTATTTAATGCATAATAAATGTAGTATATAAATAGTAAAATATACGTAATGTATTTAAATATTAAATGTAGTATTTTATACATATGTAATTAAGGATGCTATCATGGAGAATGAAAATAATGCTGTACAAAGCTCTAGTGAGACCGGTAACACTATATGCTTATAAAGCTTGGGTAACAACAAAAATATATGAAAATAGACTGGCTAATTTTGAACGAAAGGTCCTTAGAAGGATATTTGGCCTAGACATAAATACTCGAGAGGAGTTTGTGTTAAAAACAAATCGAGAAATAGAAGAATTATATAGGGAAACAAATATAATTTGAGTCTTTAAAAGTAGTAGGCTGAGATGAGCTGGACATGCGAAAGTCTGAAGGCCCTATTGGATTAGCCACAAGTTTGAATTATAAAAGAGGTTGGGAGTAAATAGCAGAGAAGAACTAACTCAAAATAAAGATGGATGAAGGCAAGTAATTGTCGTGGCAATGAACCTAAATGGTTTGTAAAAGTCAATAAAAAAGATAGAATATTTAATACACAATATCAAAAGATGTTTACAAAAGAGTAAATAATTTAATTTAAACAAAATTAATAAAATATTATATGACAAAAAAATTTTCAGGTTAGTTTTAATAAGTAGATTAGCTGTATGAAATATTCTGCACTCTCAACTTGCAACTTCAGCTCTAAATTATACTTTGACTTAAATAAGATAAAATTTAAACAATTATTTAAATAATTTTATTAGAAGCATAAGTTTTAAATTCTTTCAAACAAATAATTCAAAGAACTTAAAAAATGTATATATTTTTTAAACTAATTAATTTAAAACATTAACATATTAGTATATAAATTGAGATAATTGTATTACTTGATTATTCCCATTTGTTTGAATTTGAACAGCACTTCGTGGCCTATTTATTCGTACATTTTGTCTTGGAGTAAATCGAGGTCTTGGGTTAAATTGTTGCCAATTTTGATTTGATAAACTTGACTGACTAGACAGAGTATTACCAAAAAAATGTCCATTCTAAAAAACAGATATACAGGTGCTCTAACTGTTCTAACAAATTCTAATACTTTTGATGCACTGAACATTTTTTGTTACATTCTTTTTTAAATAATTTTTACAGGTTTAAACTACATTAAAAACATTTTTTATTGTATGTTTCTAATATGGAAAAAACTAAGAATAGAATTTTTTATTTGTCTGAAATTTTAAATTATTAATAAGTAGACAACATTTTAAGGAGAAGACCCAACTTAGATTAGTACACTCCACTAGTACTACTTACCCACTTTATGTATTAAAATGTTTGTAACTGAATAAGTACTTATCCTAAAGTTGCTATATACTCATCAACATATTTTGTAAGAAATAGACTAAAAAATAGTTACTTTGATTTTTGAACTAAAAAAATATATTTATAGTTTTTTTTATTCTAGAGACAAATAATACAAATATGCTTTTATAGTTCAAAACTATACCAATTATTTAAAAAAGAAAGTAACAAACTTTATATAATAGAAAAAAAGTAATAGAATTTTTCAGAACGGGCTGTGGTAAATGCAGTATTAATTCAAAGATACCACTTTATGTAAATAGTAGTATTATTTCCAATATTATATTATACAAATTGAAGCACATGGATTTTAATTAAATACTTAATAGTCACAAATATTATCAATTGGCTTCACAAATATACACTAAGCGTTTAACATTAAATTGTTTCTATGGCAATAGTTTTCATTATTGTATTTACAACAACTTACATTATTAGAAGAAAATTGTCTAGAATGATTATTTCTAGGAGTATTTCCAAACTGATAAGGAGAGCGTTGTCTTGAATTAACACTGAATGATCGCCAACGAGGAGACGATTTCATACTAGAACTTGTAGTTGGACTGTAAGTATTAGTAGTACAAGGTGATGTAATAGCAATCGAATTAGTAGAAGTTGCTGATCCTAGTGTATGAAATTGTGTCCATACATTGTTAAAGTTTTGCTGAGACCAGAAATTATGAGGATGGTTATGTGATGATGGAAGTTGAGATGATGGTAAAGTTGCATAGTCTGTTCGCAAATTCAATGAATTACTTTTTTCTAATGATTGATTAGCATAATTAGTCAATATATGTCTAGATGGATTTAAGTTGGATTGATCCACTGAAATACAAAAATTTTAGTATTATAGATACATATTTTTTAGTTAGAGTATGTGTAAGTCTTACTTTAATTTTCAAAATACTTTCATAAAATGATGTAATATGAACCTTTAGTAAAATAACTGGTTCTATCACCAAAGGTTTAAGTCTAAACTATTTATCAAAAAGGATATCACTAATTTTTTAATCAATATTTTCACTATTTACTTATTTTTATTTCAGCAGACAAAAAAAAAAAAACTAAATGCGTCTTTTATAAAATAAAGTTGAGATCAGCCCATGTTTCAATTTAAATTGAATGCTGATTACTTATTTTACAACATAAAATATGGTTTTTTGAAAACTTTTCTTCTTGTTAGAAAAAACACTAGTAAAAAATTATGGGAATACTATTGTAAAAAAAATGATTATTTGTTGTAAATTCTTATCTTTTAGGATAACAATATTAACGATAAATAATCATTCAATCTATAAAATGATTGCTTTAATCTAAATGTGGATACATAAATCTAAATACAAGCTCTTATCGGTGCGGTGGTTGTACCTTTGTGATAAAATAATTTACATAAGCAACTTATGTCGTGACTTTCAACGATTGTGGCGCTATCTCTAAATTTTGAAAAACCCATTCGGCTCAATTGCAAAATATGTGTCGGATATAGATGTGGATGCAAGTTCATTTAATTTGGCAACACTAGTGGTATGGTGATTAGAGAGGCGCTCGTTCATCTAAACCGCCTCCATGGCTGTTCAAATTTATATTCGACACGGCATACGTATTTTTCTGTATATTGTGTAATTTTACTTCTTTCGCATAGTACGACAATCATTTTATAATCTTGTTTACCCTTCAATAAATATTTGACGTTTGTGTAACTTTGTTGTCTTGTGTGTTTTAAATATTATTTTCCATTACATTTTGAGTCTCTGCGTCTTGCCATTCATCGTTATTATTAGCGTTGTCATTAAGTTTTGCACAACAGTTCATCCATCGTTCTATCTATCCATTTATCCTTCATCTCAATCGGTTCCAACTTCTAGCAATTTACCAGGCCAAAATGATGAGTATTGTTATTGTATTTGTTATACATTTTTCGTACAAGAGGGGATTTTAAAGTAACGGTGCCATCTATTATTGTACATGTTTTTGTACATTTTCATGATTCCTCCACTATTTTTGAAATTTTGTATTCTAATAACATGTTTGTCGCTAGAGCTCATTGTTGGCTGAATTTTCGCCTTCTACCGAATTTTTACAACAAAACTGAATCGCATTTTCCGTTCCTACCAAATTTGTCCTGTTCAGTATATTTTATCATCATTTGTGGTATAAGTAGGCGCACTACAATTGATGATTGTGGACCACTACTAAATATATTATATACATTTTCAAATATTCGGTTGTTATCCAATATATGGGAATAGTTTTTTAAATATTTGACAGTTAATGCTAAGAATAAACTATTAGCATGAAACGTTTCTACGTTTGTACTCTTTTGAGTTTTTATTACTTAACTTAAATTTATCAATAATACAAAACCACAACGCAATTTGTTCAAATAATCTACTTATTTTGTTTAATTTTTAAAAAAGACGAATATATCTATACTAAACAACTACTTATCATATCAGTCTTACTTTAGGAACTACTTAATATAGGTAAAGAGGGAAGTATAACCCTTTGGATCACGGTTGGTAACGCGTTGTTACGAGCACCGGTGCAAAGGATTAAAAGGAATATTTAGAAAAAGCTAGTTATCTTGATCACGGTTGATAACGCGAAGGTTATAATCACCGTTGAAGATTAAACTAGCTATTTTAGAAAAGAATTTGAATATATAAAATTTTGATCACGTTTGGTAACGCGTTGTTACAAGCACCGTTGAAAATTCTATATATTAAAGATTAAGATATTAAGAAAGAAATAAAGAAACTTACTCGGTGGAGCGGTGTATGCACGTAATGTAGTCGGCAATAAATAATGCAATTAATTTAACAGTGGAAAAGACAGGAAAAAAAAAGAACAAGATATGCAGTGAGGGTGTACCTTATACTGGCCCCCATCACTTGAATAGTGTAGATTAAACGTTTACTGATCATTTATTTTTAATATTTTGTAATGAATAAATGTGCATTTTAATATCTTATTTAAATTGCGAGTTCCCGTTTGGAATGATATGTAACATAAAAGGGTATTAATACAAGCATTATTATCTATATAATTAAATTAAAAAAAAATACATTATATTATATTCTTTTGAATAAAATTTAAAAAACAGCGCTGTCCAGCGGACTTTCTTGCAACTGACAAACGGCACTAAAGTTGTAGCGTAACGCTACAAACATAAAAAATATTCGAATTGATATCCGATAATAAAACGGACACAGGAGGCTCGAATTAAATTATTCCAAAAGTTACATGATCTGCTAGTTCCTTATTAATATCCTAATAAAGATAAAGTATGTCGAATGAAAGAGGGATTGTTAAAAAATATTATTTCTCATAAAAAAATTGTGTAGATCCATACACTTTTCAATAAGTTATATCATTATAAAGTTAAAAATTTAAAATATAAAATCGAGAATTTTAACACAAAAATAGCATACGGTAGCCATTTTCACCGTGAAGACAAAATAAAGTCCGAAATTTTTTTTTTCCATAATAAAGTATATTACATTAGCTTTAATTTAAGATATATATAAAAGTATCAGTATTTCCAGAACACTTTCAAAAGTTAAGTTGAAAAAGTTAATTTTTCGTAAAAAAATTGTCATTTTATATCCCCTCCTGTGGGCAGGTAAAGGGTTAAATTTATAAAAAAAATGTACTAAATAATAGGTAAAGACATCAAGCATCTATAAAAAAAAAATTATATTGATATGTTCATTTTTAAAAAAGTTATGGCAGTTTTTAGTAAAAAAAAAATTATAATAATAATAAAGAAGCACATCATAGTAAAAAAACCCAGCACAGGTGGGTCGCGGCACAGTGGTGACGTGTATAGATGGATCAAGTATAATGATATCTGACAGTGATTAAAATCACTATCAAAAAAAAAACGCTTCGATGCAAATCTTTAGATAGTGTTTAATTTTAAAAAATTGGTGGATTATTCCAAAAGCTACATGATCTGCTAGTTCATTATTAATATCCTAATTAAGATAAAGTATGTCGAATGAAAAAAGGATTATTAAAAAATATTATTTCTCATAAAAAAATAATGTTGATCCATACACTTTTCAATATGTCATAGCATTATAAAGTTAAAAAAATGTAAAAAATAAAATCGAAAATTTTCACACAATAACAGCATTCGGTAGCCATTTTCACCGTGAAGATAAAATAAAGTCCGAAATTTTTTTTTTTCACGATAAAGTATATTACATTAGCTTTAATTTAAGATATATATAAAAGTGTCAGACCTTCCGGAACATTTTCAAAAGTTAAGTTGAAAAAGTTAATTTTTTGTGAAAAAGTTGTCATTTTAAATCCCCCCTTGTGGGCAGGTTAAGGATTAAATTTATGAAAAAAATATACCAAATGAAAGGTAATGATATTATGCATCTATATAAAAAAGAATTATTTTGATATGTTTATTTTTGAAAAAGTTATGGCACTTTTAAGTAAAAAAAATTGAAAAAATTTCGAAAATTAGCGATTTTTAAATTCGTAATTTTTTTGGAGGTTTCCCCCATTTACGGGGAACGAGGGCATTTTTTTCAATTTTTGAGGGTAATGTCTTCGACTAGATACAATTTGTGATCTTTTGACGTATCATTGAAAGAAATTGGTTCGGTGAGAGCTGAGAAAAAGTGGTAACAGATAGAAAAAAAAAAAAATAAAAAAATAAACACATCTTAGTAAAACCAATACCTTCTCAGCTTCGCATGAAGCTAAAATTGAAAAAATTTCGAAAATTAGCGATTTTTAAATTTGTAATTTTTTTTTTAGATAAAATGGAATTATTTAATCTGCAATAGAGTTAAAAAGACTGATTTAGGTTAGATTAAAGATAGGTCAAAAAGTTAATCAATAAATAATATATTGAAGCTATTGAAATTTTGGCTGTTTTTTGTAATTCCATTAATATGCATTGATTCTCATGTATACACGCATAATCAATTATTTGATACAATAATTATAGTAAAAGGTACTATACAATAAATTCATTCCTTATACATGGTATCACTGATTTGAGGCAGGTTATTAGTAAATCAAATAGTCCACCATCTGGGTTATCTTATTTGTGATAAAAATGAGAAAATTGGCAGCGTTGAAAATTGTGTTGTTCTGTTAATATAACATGATAGTAGTTAATAACATTAATCGGATGAATTTTTTTTGTTTACGTTTAATAATGTAGAAGTTTTTCTCAAACAACAAGAGTTAAAATTATTATTTTTTCCTATAATTTCAAAGTTATTACAACAATAAATAATTGTGGAAGATGAAATTAATTTGTCATATGAAACAATTATGTAATTTATGTTAAAGTTTCTACGAATCATCCGACCGGTAAAATGGATTTGGTGTATTCGATATTTCGTAAACAAGCATGGAAAACTCAATTTCAAAATGAACAAATGGAAGAAGATATGTGTTTCAAATGTTTAGCTAAAATATCATCGAATAATGTTGTAGCTTGGGTAACAACTTTTGATTTAGATGATCATGTTAATATCAATTGGGGATCACATGTTTACATAGCTGATCTTAATGTACCATGGAAATATCATAAAATAATGTCTAACAATTGTACAATTACTACTTTAGAATGGGATATGTATGGTTATTCATTGTTAATTGGTGACAAAAATGGCATAGTTTCGGTATGGACGTGTAGTAATGATCATAATCTTACAAATTGGGTTCAAGTAGGTTCAAAAGACTTTCGAGGTGAACCAATCATAGCAGGAACATTTTTCCATCTAGGAAAAAAATTGATGCTCGTCAATGAGAAAGCAGATAGCATAAATTACTTTGAAAAATTTAATTATGTACGTTTTACACCTTCATTGAGAGTTTGGGGCGGTACAGGTCTACCAGGTTGTTTAGTTATCTCTGCAACTGGAATGATTGCTGCTCTTTTAATAAATGATAATGGTGAACCTATGATATCTGCCACAAATAGTTTAGCAGTAGCCAGATATCGGATATCTGTTGTTGATATTAGTTATAGACAAAATGGAAATTTTCTTATTGTAACTTCAGACGGGCGACCGAGATCACCTATTCACTGTTATGAAGTTTCTGTTAAGCTTTTGAAAGAAAAAAGTTGTACCATAATATCACAGTGGCTACCCAGTTTTTTTTTGACATTTAATGAGACTATTGATAGAGTTATATCCCATGTTAAGTTTTTACAGCGGGAAGGTTCCGAATCACTCGTCATTGGTAGTAACAGTAATAATGGGTGTATAATAGAAACTTGGGAATTAGTAAAAAAAACTAACCCTGTTAATAAAGTGTTTAAAAAGCTAATTACTGAAGACCATCCTACAGTTTGTTGGATAAAAAAGAGTTCATTTACTATTAGTGCTCAGTTAACTGCATTGGCTACACCTAAAATGTCAATAACATATAATCAGTCATCAAACAGTCAATTTATAGTTGCCGCTTTTAGTAATCATCAAGTTTGTTGTCTATCGAGAGACTTGACCCAACAATGTTTATTTGAACTTAGTAGTTATTGTGAAGATAATATAGGTAAAATTGGCTTACAACATAGTTCTAATATTCAGTTTTCAGATCTTGACATTTCTTACTTAGGAAATGTTTTTGTTGTATGTGATAATATGGGTAATTTATACTTGTTTCAATTATTATCAGTAGCCGAGTTAAATGGACCATTAACTGTTGCTTATGCTACAATGCAACTTGAATATTGTTTAGTAACTGGTCTTGATTGGTGGGACCTAGCAATTTCATTAAGACCTAATATGTTAGAAGCAGTATGTAATCGTTTTACTGAAAATTTTCAAAAACAATCTCAAGTACTTCAGCAAAAAGAATATACTACATATTTAAGTATTCGTTCTTTCCTTTATAAAATGATGCCTGGAGCACAATCAAAAAGATCAGATCTCATGCACTTAATGACTTTACACTCTATATCAAATGCTTTCAAAAATGTATTACGTGTGAGTGATATAATGGCTGATCGTGATCCAGCTGAAAGTTTAGTATCTGTACTTAAAGAGCCAATAGTTGACATAGATAAAATTTTACCTAGCTTAGGTGGGAAAGATTTTACAGTAGAACCGAGTACTTTACAATCCCTACATCAACTTATTCAATGGGTAGCTCAGCTAGCTCTAAATGTTATTGTCAGGATACCAGAACTTCGTGATAGTGCTGGTTATAATTTATTGAATGATTTATATGCTATTAATACAATACGGGAATTGTTAGTAATGATACGTATTTGGGGTTTATTAAGACCTAATTGTCTTCCTGTCTTTATTAAAAATATTGATAATCTTGATGTTCTTTCTGTAACATTTCGTATATTGTCACGCTTTGTTCAACTTTGTGGAGATCATGATGATATGTTATTTGATGAATGTTACACACTTCAAAGTCAAGTTATAATTACACCCATTTCTTCAGTGGCTGCTGGAATTCATGAAGTAGCATCACCTGCTTTATATTATCAACATTTACCTTTAAAACTGGTTTTTGGGCAAGAACCAGATTGTTTGAGATACACTACACCTACTATTGATACTATTTCTAATGGTAAACAATACTCAGATTATATCAATGATTATGATGTAATTAGAAATGTTTATATTGGTAAATGCCCATTGACAATAAAACAATGCAATCGATGTGAAGGAAAAATGCAGTTAGCTGGTTCTTCAAGAACTGCAGCAATAAGAGTCTGGGAAAATAGATGGGCAAGAAACTGTCGATGTGGAGGTAGATGGCGAACTGTTAAAGTTGGAACATAAAAAATGGAAAGTATTTAATGAAAATCATTTAAAATTAACGTACAAAATTTGTATAATCTCAAAGAATCAGCCTTAAAATAGTCCACAATTCCCTGTTGTATATATTAATTACCAAATAAAAATGGGATGTAAAAAAAATGTAAATTTAAAATTATACAATTTAGTATTATATAAAATGTCTCTATATCTTTTATAGTAATTATTAAAAATTAATGTTGTAATATTTATATAAATATTTTTATTTTATTTAAGACCATTAAAATAATCTAAAATGAATAAATAATGTTTGACTTAAAATACATTTATTTAAATTAAAACGAATATTCAATATATAATTTATATATTAATTCATTGTATTATTAATTAAACAATGTACCCTTAATATCAATTGCTAAATTTGTAAATTTTTGTTTTATTTATAATTTAACATTATTAAAATATATTATTCACAAATAAATTAAATGTTACAATTATAACAATAAATCTTTAATTGGTTGATTCCTGTTTATCTTCAGGTTTTTTTTTACCAGAATAATCTGTAGCCAAATATGTCATTAAATCAGAAAGACCATCAAATTCTGTTTTAGAAGAATGTTCTTTTGGTGTAAGCCTCGGTAATAGAGAGCCTATTTTCATTCTAAATTCATGCAACTGTAAATAAGTAATGATATGATTTAAAGAGAAAATATTTAAAAGTAAATTATCAATTAAAAAATAATAATCTGGTTTAAAAAAAAAAGAATACTCTAACTATCATATTATTACATATTACAATATTCTAAAACATTTAATTTAAAATTAAAGTATAAGGTATATTTTAATCATCCTGTCGATAGACAAATTGAGCAAAATGTTTGAAGCATCTAACATAAGGTATTCTAAAATACCTTATAAGGGGGTACACTAATTTTCATGAATATTATACAAATCTAATTGACATAGAATATAATGTTAAAGTTATTTCAATTTTTTTTTTCTTTTAAGTCGAAAAAATAAATTTTAACATTTGAATCAGTTTAAATTGCCAATTTTATCAAAAAACGAATGTGACAAACGTTTGGTGATTTTTTTGCAATTTATCTGTTCGAATTTTGCTTTTAAATTATCCACCAATTTCTTAATATTTAACATCAACTACAGATTTGCATCGAAGGGTTCTTTATGATAGTTCCAACTTTGCCACTCTCACACTGTGCCGCGACCCCAAGTGCTACATTTAGATTATTAACTTTGTTGAATATCAAGAACTCCATCACTGTAGTCTTCTCTCGTGAGAAGAAATTTATTATTCATATTAAAATTATTTTACCATGTGATTTTTTTTTGTGGCTGTCATTTATGATCTCAGCTATTACTTGACCTACTTTTTTTAATCATACATCAAATGATTACAATTTGTATCTAGTTGAAGTTATTATTTTGAAAAAAAATTCCACTTTATCAATTAAAAAGTTACTTAGCCCATATACTCCATATAGACAATTAAAATCATTAATTTCTAATATTGTTATAGTATTTATTGTCAAAATAAGTTTAATATGATAATAGGTCTCAACAAAAAAATTAAATAATTTTACTTTGTAATTTATTAATTTTTTAACTTTATTTGTGTGCGTTACTACCAGTTTATAATATTCCAAATTTGTTTGTAAAATGTTGCTCTATATATCATTTCTAAAAAAAAATGATTTTTAGTTTCACATGATTTTATATAATCAAATTTTATAATACGCTCAATTAAGTAGATTTTTTTAATAACTTTTTGATTGCTTTTTAGTTAAAGTAAATTGTTAGTTAAAAATGATTACTATGATTTCTATTTAAGTGATATATTACAATAAAAATGTAAAAATAAATTGAACTTTTTGGATAAATATATTGTAAATAGTATTTATAAAATTTCCTGGCTGCATATTAATTTAAAAGATACTATTTTTTTAATTCTCATAAAATGTTCTATTTAATGACTTCAGTTTTAAACTTCAAAATTGAGCTAAAAGTTATGGTAACAAACTCAACTTTTTTTTATGATTAACTTTCACAAAAATCCACTTCAAGACTAATTAAAAAGTAAATAATTACAAAAGGCTTAATATGAGGGAGGCCATAGAAATCTTTAAAAATAAGAATAATTTAATATATTGTGATCTTGACCTACTGAAAAATTCATTATTATACTTGTGTAATCCAATTTCTAAGAATAGATACATTTAACGTTGGAATGTTTAGAAATACTAAATTCATTAAAAATGTATTAAATTAAATCTCAAGTAAGAAACAATAAGTTGAAAAAAAAGTTTGTGTTAATGATTTATTTTTTTGGTGTAAATGACCCTTAAATCTAAAATAAAAAATTATATTTATTTGTAAAACTGTTTTATTTTTTATATCAATAATTTTTTGAAATATAAATGCCTATACTTTTGGATAAACAGTACAGTAATAGTCATAATGAGAGTGTTAGTATTCCCCATTTAAAAAAATAATCTTCCTTTAAAATAATTATTATCTAAGATTTAGATTTTGCTCAATATTAATAATTTTTTGGGAGGGTTTTTTAGACATGAGTCTTTATCTTGTGTTAAACTTTGGGGGAGTGACCCTAAAAATGTATTCAAGTTACCAATTGTCTATGATAAATAAAAATTTCAATTCTTTCTGATTTAAAATAATTTATAATGATGGTCAGAATAGTCTAACTTACTCTAAGGACAATCACATTAAAGGATTTTATGATTATAATTTTAATCTGTCAGACTTTAATTTAAACTAGTGTTCTCTACGATTTGTAATATAACTATACTAGTTTTTTATTTTAAAATGGTATAGCTTAACAAAAACTAAATTTTCAATACATTCATTTAACTTGTATTATAAAACTTTTATATATTTGTGTCAGGTAACAGTAGTTTTAGCCAATTTTTTTATTGAAAATTTTAGATTACTTTTCATTGTATAGTAGAATAATTTTGAGATTAAAATTTTTCAATTAATTAACAAAATATTTTTAAATGTGGAACTACAACATGTGAATATTTTTAATCTTTAAAAGTATTCTCTTATAAAGTTAATCAAATTGGCTAAAGCATTTTTGCTCTAAAACTAAAGATATAGTTAAAAGAACGTCATACTGGCAAATAAAATTCTTAAATTTCCCGTTCTTTTATTTTCAGGTAATTTTTTTTGTTATCCATAAGAAAATGAGCTATGACATACACTTTGTTAAAGACATTGACATTAAAATAACAAAAAATGAAATTTTCTGCATAAAAATTGTTATGTGTAAGAAAACTTATCAAATTGTATTTACTTATAGTCTTTGATTTTTCACCAAATTATAAAGAAGAAATTCTATAAAAAAAACTTTAGATCTGTGATCTAGCGTTTTTAAAATTATAATAACGCAACTCTAAAGTAATTTATTGAACATTAAGAAAACCAAAATATAATGAATTTTATTAAAGAATATAAAATACTAGAAATTATGTTAATATAAAAAAAAAAAAAAATGCTAGATTACAGGTCATTTTCTTGTTAACAATTTTGTCAACATTTTGAGACTCTGGCATTATATACATTTAAATAAAGTTGCACAAAATATAATAATAACTGTTTATTTTTTGTATGGTGTCTTCTTAATAAAAAGTTTAAAACTATTATAATTACATCATTGGCACCACTCATTTTCCAAATGCCAAAGAAAAACAATCCACAACCTCCAATTGCATAGAAAGAACCCCATTTAAGAGCTCTAATAGCTAACTGTACACCAGTTTCTCTTATATTTGAGGATGGAGTTTGTCCTTTGGCAAACATGTTTGGATCAGTTTTTCGAGCTGATGCAAGAGTAGACGCAAATGCAAATATACCAGCACCAGTTGCTACACATGTTAAAAATGCTGCTGAAGCTAAAGTTATAAATATAAAATTATAATAATATAATATAATTATCATTATTTTAATTTACCTATGGTTTCATTAGATTTGTTAGATATTTTTTGTTGAGTAATCAGATTATGAACTTCTGTTTTATCAACCATTAAGTTGCCAATAAATTATCCGTTCTACGCAGATATTGGAAAACCTTTATGTATGTTAGTATATATTATTAAGTTTTATAATCTATTTTATAATTAAAATTAGCATGTATATTGAAAAATTAAATAAAAAAATACAAAGTGACTATGATTTACTCCATATATTATATAAAATTTAACTGTCATTTTGTTTTACTGAGTAGTACTATTTGTTAATTATAATACAGTAAGATAATCATAAGTTAAAATCAAGGTTTTATTCTTACTTAAGATTGGTGTTTTTTTTATCCTTATTGTAAATTTTCAAAGATTACCGAGTAACTCGTATTACACGCTATTTGATAATAAATAGTTTTTATTATCTATTATTTAACTACACAGGAATAGGAAGCCTGATTAAATTTTTTTAGCAATCGATTTTATAGAATAAAGGATAAATATCAAATGGGTAAAAGGTTATTATTTAAATGTCAAATATTTGACTTAGTATACATAGATATAATCAACATTATGAGCATATGCTTAAATTGAAAAAAATTAAATTTTATCAATGACTTCTTATTGTTGAATAGCTAAATATTGTAATAATCGATTGATGTATTATTATTATGTATCTGTAATATTAATATTAATATTGTTATACTCGGGTTCCGGAGATTGCCACGAACTGATGATGCCCCGACATTCATTTACTCCGACACTGTAAAAAAATCCTCCGAATACATTTACTCCGACAACAATTACTACGAATACCTGGTTACAAAAATTTGGATGTTACTACGACGACGAATACTCCGAATAGGACTATTAATTGATTGCTCCGAATGAAATTAGCTCCGAATATCGATTATTCGGGAAATCGATTAAAAAATTATCAAATTTCGGAGTAGATGAATATCGTAGCAATATATTATCTGATGGAAAAATATAACCCTTATCACTAATTAATAAATATTAATTAATATAATAAAATAGCGTTATAATTGATTACTGTCTATTAACGAATAATTATTACAATAAAGATCCCCGAAATGTATCCGACTTTTGATAAAATAGGTATATAAAGGTAACATAACTGGTGTGAGCCCTTAAATTTTTTTTTGGAGGGGAAAGAAGAGCGATTCCAATTTTCAGACTTAAAATCTTTTTTTTCTCTCCTTATTAGTGCTTATTATAACATTGTAAGCACATTAATATTATAACATTCAATTAGTTTAGTTAAAAAATATAGAGGTACGTTTTTATGATGATAGTATTCGTTATTAAACAGATGCGTTTATAAAGATATTCGGTATCCCATTCTCTAAAACTGTCATTACAATTAGTTTCATATGAAATCAAACAAAAATATGATTTAATATCATTTCATTGTTCAAAGGTGGGTAACGAAATTAATTCAGTCCAGTTTGGATTTGACCGCAATCTGGAGAGACTTGAGGGGGCTTTGTCTCCTAAAATTCTGCCATAGACTATACCGAAAATGAATTAATTTGTATTTCTTGTTGTATAGAAATATTTTTTTAGATTAGGTAAAAAATTATGTAATTAGAGTTCCCAAATATTTTGTTGCAATACTCCTACGCTCTAGTCAAATTAAGTAAACACAAGGCAGTTATAAGTTAACAGTGGACAATAGTTTATGATTTATCATAAACTTACAAAAATCTTCTGCTAAGTAAATTGGTTTTAAACTTAACTAACTCGATTAAAAATATGCAGTCAATTCATTAAATAATGGTTCAGTTTTTTTTTATTTGCATTATGATTATTTGAAGTTTTGTCAAATATACGTATAGAGTTAAATATTTTAATTTATAATCATGATTGATAATCAAACAATTATTCATTTTTTCTCATTAAATGGAAATCAAATATAATAATGTAATATTGAAACTGTACAACTTTTTTTATAGGACATATATATATATATACATTTTTACAAAACATAATACATTACATTACGTGATTTTATTTTGAAAATTAATTTTTATTTTTTTTGGAATATGCTTTCATATTCTAAAAAGTACATATAAAATTAATTCAAATTTTTAAAAAAACTTCATTTTGTATTTATAAAACAATACATTTGTATTTGCAGGATACGCGTTAAGCTAACGAGATGAAAACATTGGCAAAATAATCATCTTTTCGCAGTGTCGGCCTGGCTCAGAAGGCCCTCATTAAATTTAAGATTTTTTTTCTCACTGGACCACTGAGAAAATTGTCCAACAAATTTAATTATTATTAAAAAAAGGAAAGGCTATTCAGATATTTTTTTCAAGGAAATATTAAACTGATTTCAATAAATGTATATTAGATTTTAAACAAAAAGAACTTTAAATAAATAATTTTTTACTCCTTAATATTTTTAACTTTTTTTTGAGCACCACTGGAGATTATAATGGTTTTACTTATAATTTAACATTGATTATAAAACTCATGTCACAAAATTAAATTTTTTTAACGATGAGTTAATATATTTTTAATTTTAGATGACACACAGAATTTTTAAATAAGAAAAAATTAATTCTACTTATATATAACCAAAACTTACTAATTCTTAGCATAACTCATATTAGACTTGTAGCAAAACTTACACAGTTTAATACTATTTTAATTTTTTTTAATATAAGTTAAAAATAATTTTAGTAATTAATTTTCAATTAAAATTGCTGAAAGAAAAATTAATCATACTCTTCTGAGTCTATAAAAACCTATTGGAAGAAACTTCCAGAAAGTAATAAGACTAAAAAAAATGTGTTCAACAATTACTGCATTGAAGTTGGATATACTGTGTTATTTTATACTTAGATATCCTAATGCAGCACAGGAAAAAATCCAGACATCCCCAAGAATGATTTTATATTGTACAAACAATTTTATGTGTTATATTAGTTATTATTTTTTAATATTACACACTTAGGAATTAATCACTAATAAAATTGCACAAGACAATTTTTACAGCACATATTTGTTATAGAAAAATTAGTTTTCAAATGGATCTCTTAGATGTTAAAAAATAAGTTACTGTTAGATAAAATTTTGTGGATCGACTGAAAAAACAGTTAACTAACAGTTTTTTGATTTGATGAAAATATTTTGTAATTATTGGATAATTAAAAAATAAAATTCTCAAAGATAAATATATATTCTAACAATAGAGAAAACTTTTTCAAAAATGTACATTTGTATTAAACACTATTCATTTTATGTTACTTAATGAATGACTATTATCATTCGAGTATTAATGACATATGTCAAATGTGAGTAATTGTACCAGAAAATAATAAGCAAAATGTATATTATTGTATAATAACTATAGTAGCAAATAAATGCTAATTGAATAGAACATTTTAATTTAAATTTTACAATATTATTAATAATAATATAATTAATTTAATAATGTAGTGTTTCTGTAGCCACGTGACCCTGACGTTGCAACATATACGATCAATGCGCCCTATTACTAACAATGCAATCGAAATATAATATAACTTTCGATGCATAATCAAACTATCGATAATGTCGGAGTTTTTACTATCTCATTTTTTAAATTTAATGTCGGAGTAAAATCCGTCATAATTTTGGTAACCTATGAATCAGATGGTCGGAGTACCAGATGTTCGTAACAATTACTACTTTGTCAAATGTCGAAGTATGTAAATGTCGGAGCATCATCAGTTCGTGGCAAAGGTGCGATCCCGTTATACTCTATGAATATAATTATATAATTATCTATGGTTAATCAAATATATCAATTACTAGAAAATGTTCACAGTATTTCGTTTTTGTAGTATCAACACAGAATAGATAAAATCTTAATTATTCTGAGATATCACAAGTAACCATGAGTTCATAATTAAAAAGATTTTATTTATTATTGTTGAATCAATTAATTGTCTTATTTTGCGGTTAGTAATTTTGTAATACATTTAAAAATTATTTAATTTAATATTTCTATTATAATTTCATTATATTTAAACAGATTTGGTTATTTGAAGGTATATTAGCAATAAATTTTATAATTAATATTTTTTCTACGATATATTATTATTAATAACAAATTTATTATAAATATTGGTTTTAGGTTTAAACTGACAATTTTTAATTAGATTACAATGACGAGATTTGCTAGAGCTCGAGGTTCTAAATCATCTAATCAGAAATTACCAGAAGAAGCTACTCCATGGTCACAAATGAAACAAAAAAATAAATTGAATAGTTCAATTGAAGATGATTCTAAAATACATTTGCTTAAAGAGGACAAAAAACAGAAATCATTTTCTAATGTAGAAAAATTTGATGGATTCAGCGTATTGAAAGAAGATGCTGCCGAATTACGATTACAAAAGTCTAAGTTAATTAAACAGGGTATACCAAGAAATCAATTAAAGACACACTTGTTACCTTTTCGTCGACGTGCTGAAAAAAGATTAGCAAGGCTTAGGCAAAAAATGTGTTTTCATTGTCGTCAACAAGGACACATGCTTAATCAGTGTCCTAAATTAGGATCCAACACTGCTTTAGGAGTATGTTTCAAGTAAGGTTCTTTTGTTTATATTATAATAGTAAAGAATTTTGAAAAAATAGTGGTAGCTAACTTAATATATTTATTTATACTACCAATAAACGGTATTTTATAAATTATAATTTAACATGAGTGATTAAACAAACTAGTTATAAAGAAAGAAAAAATTATAAAAATGTATAAATAAATACTATTATGTTAAAATAGTTCATAAAATTTACAAATAGTTTGTGTAATAAAGTCCAAGAACTAAGTATTGTTATCAAGATGGAACATTATATGTAAAGGATTATTATACATATAGGAAATATGATGTGAAGGGATATGAAAAAAAGTATGATTTTATATTGGATAAATGGAAACACGGAAAGATAGTCTATCATATAGATAACAAAAAATAGGGGTGTTGATTAAATAGCTTAGTAGCGCGTTGATGAACCAAAAGTTTAAAAATATGTTTATTGTTATTATATTATGTTTATATATTATAAAATATTAAACATAAAAATATGTTTAATTGAGATAATTATTATTTAACCTACAAAATATTCTAATACATACAAAAAATAATTTTTCCTATGAATTTACTCAGTGTTGAATGAATTTTTACTCCCATAAAACTTCATACACTTTATAAAGACAAAAATCCGGTTTCTTTTAATTCATTTCTTGTATTATAATAATTGAATGCCTATATTCATCATAAAAGAAATCTGTGAATAACCAATGTATTCATTATAGGTGTGGTTCTACTGAACATAAACTACAAGAGTGTCGTAACACAAGTTCTAATCAACTTGAATATGCTAAATGTTTTATATGCAATGAAGAAGGGCATCTATCACGTCAATGTCCTGACAATCCAATGGGCTTGTATCCTAATGGAGGAGCATGCCGGTAAACAGGGTGATTTTTCTACTATAATTCACTTAGTTTCTCACAAAATACAAATTTTTTATATAGGATGACTTTCATATCGCTCTCAAATTATGAGCTATGTAATATTTTTTAAGTTCATCCCTTTTGTCTTGGAAGAATATTGGCCTAGTTTTTTCAAATTCGATCACTTATTTTGAATTAAGTAAATGTTTAGTTTTTTTTGATAATAAATTTTAATATAACTATTCATTTATTAGATATAACGCTTCAAAATTTTGAATTATACACAATATCCTAAAAGAATGGTAGTTTATAATGTTGGGAGTTAACATTTGTAAATACACCAATTAGCGACCTGTGATATATATAATATCTCGTATATTATACATGTATTATAAAACAAAAATTCAAATCTTTAAAGTATTATATTTAATAAACGGATGAAGTTTTATTAAAAGTTCAAATGTCATGTACCAAAAAAAAAAAAAACCATATATGTTATTTAATTTCAAATATATGTTGCCATTTGAAAAAACAAGTTAACACCCTTACAAGGCATAAGGGATAAACTTAAAACGTATTATATAGCTAATAAATCAATTATAATATATAACTAAAAGTAGCCAAAATTTTTTTTTTTATATTTTTATTCAGCGAATAATTGAGTTGTTGAAATGTTAAAAAAAATCAATCGCTCAAGAATATATATTTTTTTGGTTCATGACAATATATATTTTTTTAATTTCTCTTCTGTTATACTTTACTATTTTTTAAAATTGACTTTATTAAAAAAATATTGATATTTGTGAAAAAAAATAGTATTGGTTGGGTGGCTAAATTTGGTTTCTGACCACTGCTATGCCTTTTTTAACATAATTTCCTAATTTTTTATACATTAAATAAATATATCATTTTTCTAATTTATACATTTTAGTAGTGTTGAGTCATCAAATATGAATGTCTGTTAATCATTGATGTACTTTTGGGTGATTAAAATAAATTTTATAAATGCTTGAAGTCCTGAATCTTGATTACAACTGATAGGAAATAGTAGCTAAATTAATATTTAAAAATTTAAATAATAAAATATTATTTAACTGACATTTAGTGAAGTAAAGTAGATGTAAACAAATGGATTAATAGCTATTAGAATATTTTGAATCCTTTAAAATAGTTTAATTTTAATTCAAAAAAAAAATATATTTACATTTACCTAATTAATCTTGAAAATTTTGCTTGGATAAATTTATTTATGATAAATATTTTATAGGTTATGTGAAGATGTTACTCATTTTGCAAAAGATTGTCCTGAAAAACAGAATTGTAAGAAAGAAGAGTACTTGCCTGTAGTTGGATTAATTGATAATAAAGCAATTGAAGAGTTAGACTGTAACCAACAAAAAAGCAGAAAAGATCTCTCGGGATTCAATGGAAATAAAGGATTAAAGAAAAAAAAATTAGTTATTATGAAATGATTTTGAGATAGCTACAATTTAATATTAAAATTTTTTGTCTCAATCTTACTATTAATAAAGAAATTTTAGCCTCGTCATTTGTGTTCCATTTTTTGTACATTAGTACTACAATAATTTAAGAAATAACTGGTTATTGAAAAGTGGGCTAAATATTTCTTGGAAAAATAAATTTGTATAAACCAATCCTATTCATTAATTGACATAGCGATTTTTACTAAAATGCATTAGCATTTCTAATTATATCTTTTAATAAACAAATTTGAATACAAAGTTCATTTTAATACCACAAAATTACATAGAAACTGAAGTAAATCCTAAATGAAAACCTAACAAACTTAGTTCTTTTTATAAGACTATCATTTATTAATTTCAATTATTTTAGCACTAATTTTACTACCCCAAAAACAGTTGAACAATGATATTAAGAATCACTACATATTTTTTTTTTTTTAGTAGGGCAGTATTTTTGTGTATATTTTATTCAGTACATTTATTTAGTTAATTGTTTTTCTTTAAATGAAAATTCATTTTTTGAAATTTATAGTACATTTTATAAGTATTTTTCAATAAATTGAGTTTATTCATTAAATTTATTGTAATTCCAAAGTATAATAATTTTTTTAAAGCAAACTAATATATAAAAATGAAAGGAACAAAAATAAGACAAGTAAAATGAAAAAAAAAACTCTTTCTTTTAATTTTACAACCTTTATTGAAATACGAATAATTACAAAACAATCAAAATGGGTTAATATTTGCTAAGATAAATCTCATTTTGAATAACCAAGAGAGAAAGCAATATATCTATATTGCACATACAACAGCTACTAAAATTAAATTTTTCTCAATAATAATCAATACACATACAATTTTATTTATTAGATAAATTCTTAAAATTTAATAATAATAATGAAGTTATACTAATTATAATTAAATATTTATAAATGAATATTATCTTTTTTTTACATTTGGTCTTAGCTATGAGAAAAACCACATTAAAAATTGTTAATGTTATGTTTAAAACACAATGTAGAAAGGGAACAGTGTATATAATAATTGTCAAACAAATTAATTGCACCTATAGGATATTTACGTGAAATTCGATCAGAATTCATTAACAGCCAGGTACAAATATTAGTCGGTTAAAAAAAATTCAATTATTATCACTCAATTACATGGTAATATTATTACATTAATGTGTTACAAATATTATTATTAATTATTATCATAAAGTACAATATATATATGAACGTCTTTTAATCAGTAAAACAAATACCAACCACTTAAAGGCCACATAGTCACATAAAAAAATGGGTAAAAATGATTTTAATGTGTACTTTTCTATCTGAAGCACACACGATATAAGGCAAATATTATTGAATTTGCTGATAAATATCAGCAAAGAACATTGAAAATTTGCTTTTAGTCTTAAATACTCGTATGTATTTCAAGATGAATATTTTTCAAAATATAAAAAAAAATTCAATTATCAATTTTAAATAATCATTAAAATTTGTAGTAAATATATTAAAAAGATTGGTTATCAAACCAAATAAAAATCATTATATTTATACACATTAAAAAAAAAAAAAATAGATTATATCGACATGAATTTTTGTCTTTTTCCAAGTTTCCATCACCATATTTTTATTATTTAAAATAAAAACAAAATATATACTATAATATTCTTAAGCTAAACATATTAATTTTAACACTTAATTTTCATCATTAGTTACTAGGCACGTTTTGTGACCGTTTTACAAATAATATAATTAATTTTGTTAATTATACACATAACATAGATCATTATTTAGTTACACATTACTATCATGTTAGACTTAGAATATAATATACATAAAAAAAGAAAAAATATTTATCAACGCCCATTCTTTTTTTAATTTTAATCCACTAGGTATGACTAGAGATATTAATAATTACAATATATTAAATTAAAACTAGCGGCACACACACAAAAATAAATAAATACTAACAAAAATAAACTAAATAGATTAAAATGTATTTCATACTTCATTACGCAATATTTAAGTGAATGACAAACTAGTAGTCCCTTAAGCGTTAGCACAATAAAAATATTTTTTTGGTTTATTTAAGAGACATTTATGACTCCATCACCAGAAAATGTCATAAGCCATAAATGTTGAATGACAATTAACTATTTTATTTTTAAGGCACGCTGTTTATTTTATACAACTACATAAATTATTAAGAAAAATGGTAGGACAAAAAATGTATTACAGAAAAGATAATTAACCATAATATATCCTGTTTACACAAATTTAGCACTAGCACCTCATAATTACATAAAGATACACCCTGGGTCACACAGTTAATTTTAGAACGTTGAAATTTCTAACGTTAGATAAGTCATGTGATTTCATTTAAAGTTGTCTTGGTGTTTTCAATACATTTTTATCTTCTACTAATGAAAAAAAATTGAGCTTATACTAGGTCTCTTTAAGAGACCAATGTATTATATATGCCAACGTTGTTAAGGGACTACAAAAAAAAAAAAATATTCGTGGAAACGGTACACCTGATCAAAAATATTACTATTCTATAACGCCATTACTTATTAACCCTGTTTAATATTAATACACTAATTAAAATAGTAGGTATATAATATATTTATATATATATAAATTTGGTAAATGACTGCGAAAATAATTGATTAACAGACTTAAAATAGAATCACTATTAATGAAAAATCATGATATAGCGTGTATCGAGACAATAAAAAAATTTATTTGAGCAAAATCAATATAAAAAGATTTGCTTTAACAATATATGAATGTATTATTATTGAAAACATATGGACAATTATAATAAAAAACAAAACGTCAATCAAAAGATTTTCCTTTTTTTTTTTTAATTTATAAAACCCAACAAGAACAAAAAAATAATAATGTTAACAATTTAATCTCAGTCTAATCGACAATGAAATCACATTAAAAAGGCGTAACATTGTTTTAAGTTACCAACAGATTTTTTTTTAACAAACATCATTACGTGAAAACTTAACTGGATATGTAAAACCCAACAAATTATGATAGTTTTAGTTATTAACATATGTAAGTTTGTTATGATTTTGTTATTCAATTTTAAAACACTACAAATGATTGTCTCTGTTGGTACACATGAAAATAATTGGACTAGGTTTAGATAATTTAATATTATTTAAAATTACAATATAAAATATATGAAATTTTCAAATATGTAGTTTTTTACTGTTAAATACTCTTAATCGTCAAGTCTTTTCTTTGCTCGTAATGACTGCTGGTTTGCGAGAACGATTATGGGTGTTACAATTATAATTAATAATAGTTCATTTGCACTCTCTTGATTTGAACGCATGTCATAATTCCGACTTAGATAATATAGTTTATATTAAATACATTACAAGATACGTCAACTACTTTTAATAGGAAATAGAACATCATGTTACATAACTGTATGAGTAAAAAAAAAAACATTTTGACAACAAGCGTTTATAATATTATGTATAAATACAATACATTACTGGTAAATATCAAATCACTTGGTTTTAGTTATTAATGTAAAAATATCGAGTAGATAAAATATTTATTTTGGTAACGAAACTTGTATTCAGTGGATTTTCAACAAATGTAGCGTATACTTTGTCGCACATTTAAGTACTTAAAATAATCGAATGCAGATATTAAATTTAATAACTGACGATAACCAGACAATGGGGCAGTGGTCAATTTCTCATAGTACATGATAATTAAAGAGTTCTTCACGGCATAAAAATCTCTATTTTTATTTGAACACGATAAACACACCAAACTAAAACGACTAAAATTATCCATTTTTAGTTTAAAAAAATCTATTAAAATTAATGAGTTACTATTACGTTTAAACTTACAAGAAATATTATTATTGTTGACATAAATCACATAAGTTACATGTACAACTAACATGAGTTATTCACAAAAATACTTGATAGTACCCTTCTCCCGTCGGTTTCACAAATAAAGAATAAAATTTAAGCTTAATGAAAGCAACAAAGTTTTAAGCCTTCTAATATTTTTACTATAATTAGATCATTTAGAATAAATTTATCGTCATGACAATCGTTTATAATTTAAAACATTATTGTTTTGTTATACGCGAGACAAATAAATGTTTTATCCAAATTAAAATACATGATTTAGTTGTTATAAAATATGAATATTTTTAATTCATCATGAAATTTCATAATCTATTGGAATAATTTAAAAGATCTTTAACACACTTAATCATCGTGCTAACAACACTAGCTTCGTTTACTTCAGTCTCATGAAATAAAAACTGTCAAGGGCTCCAAGTGATTATAATAAAGTTTAAAATTAAAAAATTAAGAATTAACAGTTACATGCGTCACTTAATAATAAACATTTTAATAGAATTTTTACATCAATTAAAATTAAGTTTTTCTTTTCAATATATTTAAACTAATTGAACATTGTGGCACTTAAATCACAAAAAGTGTAGATATGAATTTGACATAACAAATAGGTTAACTAAAGAATAGCTTGTTAAAAATAAGGGAAAAATAACATAATATAAGTAAAACTAAAATAAATAACAAAATCGTACACATTTATTTGTATAAATATACATCAAATCCCTTATATATTATTATAAAATGGTTGTGTAGTTTTTGATTAGACACATTTAAGGTTATACTACTTTTACTCACATACATGTACAAAGAACGATTATTTTTCCTGAATTTATGATTGAATTGATAAATTTTACTGCATTTTAATATATTGACTAAGACATGAACAAATGAGGAACATAACAAATATTCAGTTAATTGAATAAATGTGTTAAGTTAGTATACAATTGAATCATAATAAAAACCAACCATATATATTATACATGCATACATAAGTATGTGCAGATAATAACTAGAATAAAAAACCGATTAAGAGTAAATTAAGAAAAAAAAAAAAAAAACAAATTAAGACTGGCGTAGGAATGCACTCTTGAATGGTTTATTTAGCTAACGACGAAAAACACTCATCTTATTAGGATACACAAAACCCGAAATTTCTATAAAAGAATGTTAATAATGAAAATAAATTAATAAAGGGGGATGTTATAACATATAATTCAACTATTTGTTGAAATGAAAGAACACAATGATGTACGATAATCATGATTTTTTTCTATTTCGATAAATAATTTCCGTTAAAGAATCATTATAAGGTATTTGCAGGGTAAGAGATATCTGTTATTGCTTATAATAATAATTTTTTTTTTTAAGTTAAATTTATTCAATTTAGTATAAAAATAAGTGAGCAAGGGATGGATTAATATTTTTATTTTAGTAAGTTTTAGTGACATTTGTGTAAATATTTCTTTGATTTAAATTTTATTTATGGTAATTATAAACGTGATCACAGTGCTCTTTAAAGGAAACGCAATTTATCACTGCAATAATAAATATATATCCCCAAAACATCTCTTATTTAATCTAATATTAAAAAAACAATTTTTAATTAATTAAAATAAATTAAGTTATAATACTACTAATAATAAATTACAATTTATATAACCTACAAATAATAAGGACGTTTTATATTTAGTTAACATTATTGAATTTTATCATTGTCGTTTCCTTAAAAAGCTATTGACTAAAAATTAACCACACATTAAATTTATAATTAACATTAAAATTATTATTTTTTAAATTGAAGTTCTAGCAAAATATATAATAATAATATTCTATAAATTATGAAATATATATAATATAGCATTTATTAATAAAATAAACATAATTAGTTAATATTTTACTTTTTGGTTTTACTTGGCAAAAGACAATTTTCTATTGATATTTCTGTGTTAAAAATTACCTAAGACTTAATTACTAAGTGCGGAGTGCATCACACCACCCTTAAGAAAACACCTTAAAATTACTTATTATAAGAATTAGTTTAAATTGAATTTATAACTATGGAAGACATAACTACTTGCCTTCTGAACACAATCAACCTTAAATTAAAAAAATAATTGGGAGAGTATCACNGTATCACATGAAGCATATTGGTTGTAAATCATCTTAATATTATTAACATATGTGTTTAAAAAATGGTACTTTTGGGAAATTGTTTCACCAAAGACGTTATTATCCTAAAATACTCTATAATACTTAAAAAAAAGTTTTTATAATGATAAACAAACAGATATTGAGATCTACTGCTATACTAATTTTACTGGTGATTTTATTCTTTTTTTTTCTTTTTTTTTTTTTAGATGACAAGCTAAAGAACTAATTAACAAATTTTGTTCTGTAAAATAAAATATTAAAATACATTTTTTGTTAAATATATTGCTAAAGGGTAATTAATTTTTTTTTTTTT